ATATAAAGTCACTAGTTAAGCCAGTGTTTTGGGTATAACTAAAAATTTTTATATTTTATTTACAGAAGTTAGGTCTATGTATTTTGCATTCCACCCTTTGAGAGGAAATACATAGGTGAAGATGAGGATTTACCTATTAACAGAGGATGATTTACCTATTAACATTACCTATTAACAGATGATGATTTACCTATTAACAGAGTAGAGAAAAGTATGTTTCCACATCCCAAGAAGCGTTTCTTGTTACACACAAAGTAATACAGTGTTACCATCCCCTCAATTCAAAATAATTTATTATGGTGCTCCGAGTGTGAATCAGCAGGATAAAAGTTGTCATAACCATCTGGATAAATCTGGGTAAACAATGTTGATGTAACATTGAATCAACGTTCATAAAGCTGATCATATGTTGATTTAACGTTATTTAAGCATATTGGCCGTTGGTTATGAACAACACACACAAAAAGGGAATTTAAATACTTAGTCCATTTATACTTGGTGATATGATACATAAAATACATTATCTGTTTCTTAAAATGAACAAGTTTCTGATAAAAATTAACACATAAACCTATGGGAGACAACACTTCATAAATAAGAATTCTTCATTGCGATAGGTGAACTTAACAATTGTACATGAATGTATATTTTGTGTTCTAATCAGTAGTTCTTTTATCATATATGATAAATTAGGAAAAGTTATATTTCTACAGCTTTTCAAGTTAGTTATGCAGGAGTTTTGTTTCCCTAGACTATGGGCCAAATAACAAAGAAATTTACAAAGCAAATAAATATTTAAGAAGCATACCTGGAATGGAAATGCTCCAAATGTGACAATTTCATAGAGCAAAACTCCATATGACCATATGTCACTCATTGTAGTAAAGACACCATCCGTTAGAGACTCTGGCGCCATCCATCGTACAGGTAACATACCTAAGAAGGGGAGTAATATATAAGTGAGAAATGACATGTTCAATTCACTGCTGTTTTCTTTATATATTTCTTAACTCATATTATATATATATATATATATATATATATATATATATATATATATATATATATATATATATATATATATATATATATATATATATATATATATATATTTATATATATATATATATATATATATATATATATATATATATATATATATATATATATATATATATATATATATATATATATATATATATATATATCTATGTATATATATATATATATCCACATTCACCTGTGGATGAAACAATTGGGATGATAGCGGACAGAGTGTATCATGATCCGGCCTGTACTCCTCTTGACATACCAGAAAACATTCTAAGGAAACTACTCCAAGCTTGTACTAAAGAGGCACCCTTCTTGAGCCCGGATGGGCACATGTATAAGCAAGTAGATGGAGTCGCCATGGGTTCTCCCCTAGGTGTCCTGTTTGCGAACTTCTACATGGGTACCATCGAACAGAAGGTCTTAGTCGACATGAACTTGAAACTGGCCATATACTGCAGGTATGTTGATGACATTTTTACACAGGTACCTGATGTCAGACATCTGCAGGAGCTGAAAGAGGCATTTGAGTGGAATTCTGTGTTGTGTTTCACTTACGAGATGGAGAAGGATGGGAAGCTTCCCTTTCTAGATGTAACAGTCATGGAAAGGAACGAAGGTTTCCACACTGCAGTCTACACTAAGGAAACAAACATAGGAATGTGCCTCAATGCCAACAGTGACTGCCCAGATAGGTACAAGAGGAGTGTTGTTAACGCTTATGTCGACCGTGCTCTCAGCCACAGCTCAGGATGAAAGCAAGTCGATGAAGAACTCTGTAGGGTAAGGCAGGTACTAGTCAACAACGGCCTCTCCAATGGTTTCGTTGAAGACATCATAAGAAGGAAGGTGAAACGCCATGCAACCTCTGAAGAGACAACTAACACAACACCTTTAACCCCTATTAGACTATTTTACAGGAATTTCTTTTCCACAGCTCATAAAATGGAGGAAAGGGTCCTGAAAGATATTGTTGATAGGAACGTTATCCCTACAGACAAAAATCAGAAGATACAATTGACGATTTACTATAAAACCAAAAAAATGGCCAACCTACTCATGAGAAACTCTCTAGACACAAAGCAGAACGCTTTAAAAGAGAGCAACGTTGTCTATGTCTTCAAATGCCCACTTGGGGACTGTAAGCCTCAAAGAACTCGGTATATAGGCAAGACAACAACATCTTTTTCCAAGCAATTAATGATGCATAAGCAACAGGGCTCCATTAAGGAACATATAATCTCTTCCCACAACCAGACCATCACCAGAGAAATCTTAATAAACAACACAGAAATCATTGATAGATACAGTGATAGCAGGCGGCTTGATATCTGCGAGGCACTACACATCAAGAAGTCAACACCAGCAATCAACAGCCAATCAACAGCACAACTATATTCTACCCACTTCAAGATTCCGCACCAATATAGAAGCATCAAGAAATATGGGCCAAGAGGCCCTTTGCAGTTACTTCCATTGTTCCCTTTAATTTACTCAATTTATATCATTGTTTCGTGTTCTGTCTTGTGTTGAAAGTTTGCTCTATCTTATGTTGAAAGTGTTGTTCACCTCATTCAAAACTGTTGTAACATATCACCTCACCCAAATGCGGGTATATAAGATGAAAGCTGTTTAAATGATAGCATAGTAGAACTCTGTTTAGTGTTTGCAGGTTATAGTTGCGTGTGTGTAAACTAAAGTCTTTGAAAATGTAATAAGTTATTACGAAACGCGTTCAAGTGTCACGTCAGACTAGAAATAAAAATGAATTTTGGATAATTGATTTTTCAATAACCATCAACAGTGAAAAGAAACATATGAAATATTGAGAAAATTCGTGTTAGTATTATTAATCTTACTTTTCGGTAATATTTAACTATATATATATATATATATATATATATATATATATATATATATATATATATATATATATATATATATATATATATATATATATATATATATATATATATATATATATATATATATATATATATATATATATATATATATATATATATATATATATATATATATATATATATATATATATATATATATATATATATATATATATATATGTTTCATTGAATATGACCGCATATTCTGTATTTATTATTTTCTGGTTTAGGGCTTCTATCCCTCTAACTATTTTCTTAGCATCAGGGCTTAATTGAAATAGGAGTTCTCCAAAACTCATTTTCGTACTTTTAAGGCGAAGAAAAGAAGTGATTTACTATAGAGTGTATTACACTTATTTATATAATTTGCACGACGTTTCGAACCTCCATGGTTCATTCTCAAGTGAACAGATCTTACAATACTAGTTGATTTTATACCCGCACTGGGTCAGGTGATAATACAATGAAGGTGAAAACATGGGGGGATACATAAGGGATAAAAATGTGAGGTGAAACATAGAGGCTGCAGAAGGCTTATTGGCCCATACGAGGCATCTCCTATCTAAACAAAGATTAATCCAGTGTAAAGCCAATTCCCTACAGACAAAAATCAGAGGATACAACTGACGATTTACTATAAAACCAGAAAAACGGCCAGCCTACTCATGAGAAACTCTCCAGACACAAAACAGAACGCTTTAAAAGAGACTAACGTCGTCTATGCCTTCAAATGCCCACTTGGGGACTGTAAGCTCCAAAAAACCCAGTATATAGGCAAGACAACAACATCTCTTTCTAGGCGTTTAACGATGCATAAGCAACAGGGCTCCATTGCGCAGTGGTTAAGGAACATATAATCTCTTCCCATAACCAAACCATCGCCAGAGAAATCCTTGTAAACAACACAGAAATCATCGATAGATACAGCGATAGCAGGCGGCTTGACGTTTGCGAGGCACTACACATCAAGAAGTCAACACCAGCAATCAACAGCCAATTATTGCACAACTATATTCTACCCACCTCAAGACTCCGCTCCAATATAGAAGCATCAAGAAATATGGACCAATAGGCTTTCTACAAACACTTCTATTCAATACCCATTTTTCTGTTCTGTCTTGTGTTGATACTTTTAATACCCTATTAATATCCCCTCTTGTTCTGTCTTGTGTTAATGCCACATCACCCCTCCCACCTCACTCAAATGTAGATATAAAATCAGAGATACGTAAGCTCTAATCAGTTGTGTATTTGTGAAGTCTTTGAAAATGTAATAAGTTTTACGAAACGCGCCCGTGTTGCGTCAGACTAGAAATAAAAATGAATTTTGGAGAAGTGATTTTTGATTTACCTCCAACAGTGAAGCGTAATGTACGAAAGATTGAGAAAATTCGTGTTAGAATTATTAATCTTACTTTTTCGGTCATATTTAATAATATATGTCTACAGGAAAGACTGCTACCAAAAAATATACTAATATATATGTATATATATATATGTATATGCATGCAATAATGATCACAAAAACACTGATCCAAGTATGCAGAAAAACCACATGGGAAAAATAGAAAATGCTTAACGCGTTTTCGGCTAATTCGCCTTCATCAGAGCAAAGTAGAATGAAGATCAATCTTCATTTATCTTTATCTTCATTCTACTTTGCTCTGATGAAGGCGAATTAGCCGAAAACGCGTTAAGCATTTTCTATTTTTCACATGTGCTTTTTCTGCATATATATATACATATATATATATATATATATATATATATATATATATATATATCCTATATATATATCCAGGGCCTTTAGGCTGATTGCTAAGGGAAGCCCAGGCAAGGTACTGCTAACTGGGTATCCCAAAACTACTAAACAAACAAACAAACAAACAAAAGCTGAACCCCTGTGACATGTGCAATCACGGGGCTGACTCCATACACAAGTTTCAAGTGTAGATATGATAGAGCACAATAGGCTCAGGAATCTGTACACCTGTTCATTGACGGCTGAGAGGCGGGACCAAAGAGCCAGAACTCAACCCCCCGCAAACACAACTAGGTGAGTACAGCAGAGGAACACCATAAGGCACAACACTGTTCAAAGGACGGAGCTAAAGTCGATCGACTACACAACAGCCTCAGAACTGGGATTGGGAAGCTGGCATGGGAGGTGTGGGGCTCCCCCTTCCCCATCCCAGGAAGGGAAGGGGGGGAGGGAAGTTGCGCTGACAGTGGTGTGGGGGCTATCATGACGTCATGCTTGTTTGCTTGTTTTCGTATTGGGGAGTTTTGCCTGCTCGTTTGGCTTTCGGTTTGCAATTTTAAACTAGCTGTAGTTTGTTTTGGGATTCCTACCTTTCTGGGTGCCTGACCTGGTAGATGGCAGATATAGACTACTTCCAACTACATGGGGGTGTCTATAGGCCATTGCTCCTTGTGTCTCTCTGAGAGGGCCAGGTTCTGGCTTGTGGTCCCTGGTAGGCTAAGAACTCCATCGATTGACTGTTGCCATGGTCTAATATATATACACATCAGCCCAGTATAGCTCCGGGGAGCTGAAGGAGCTCACCACAGAAATGGCAAGAGATATAAATACTCTAGAGCCAAATTGTAAGACGCAACTGAGGTCTGATGACAATAGATGATAAAGTATACATACGCATGTGTAACCATATCTCATGTATCTTACGTACAAAACATCAAGATAAGTGATATATCCTGGACATCTGATGAGTGCCTGTGTTGGCAATATCTATATCTTAAAACAAAGGAAACTACAAATGAAAATCAAATAATTCATATTGGCATGACTTACCTTTACGGTTAAACTTATAATAATTGTTTTCGTACATAGGCCTTGTCATGCCAAAGTCTGCAAGCTTAACTGTGCGGTTTGCATTGACCAGGCAGTTTCGACACGCAACATCCCTGAAATTAATAAATTAACCCATTTTATTACATAAAACTAAACTTGCTGTGAATAAACTATGTTTACTTCCTAAATCTGAAGAGGTTAATAATCTTTTAGCTGTTTAATGTACATATATATGGTAAATATATCTAAGTTAAAGAGTAACAATTAAAACTATATGCATCATCAATCGTACCTGTGAACATATTTTAGCTCTGCTAAATAAGCAAGGCCATGCGCGATATCCAAAGCCATGGAAGTCAGCCTCTTATTGCTCACCTCATCATCGTCATTGCGGTTTTTTTCATTAACCAAATTTCTTCTTGCAAGTAGGTATGTTTTGAGATCCCCTATGGAGAAAAATTTGAGATGTTTAAATAATTAAAATTAAATTGTAATGTACTGTAGTTCACTGTTACATAGGTACAGTAAGGCAAACCCTTGCCATTTGTGGATTTTTCATTTGAAATCTCAGCTATTTGTGGGTAACATCATTGTATAATTTGAAGTACTTTTAGCTGCCATGCCACTCTGCATCACCGATGACTCTCAGTGGGCAACCACCCTATCCATATATCTTTCTGACAACTCTTTCTGTCACAATATCTATCTTCGACACTGCCTTTCCCACAATGCCATTATTTGTCACACTGTCTTCATATCTGCATTTTTCTTCCTATATTGATCTGTCTGAAGTCCTATCTTTCTCTGTAACTCTCTACTTGTCTGTCTGTCTTTATCCATACTCTTGGTATTCTCCATCTCTGACAATGTCTATTTATCTTTTTGTGTGCCATTTTCTTCCTGTCTGGATTTTCCAACAGTCAGTATCGTCATGCCTTTTCTTTTACTCTGACACTTGGCTTGTTTGTTTTTCTCTTCTTGCTGTTATACTCTTTACATAAAATTTAAAGCAGTTTTAATAGACATCACGGCTCAAGGAGTAAAGTTGATGTGATGCAGTGACACACGGTTACTCATTAAGTAACCGTCTCATGAGAACATTGTCCCATGTGATGTGATCACTCTTTAATACAGTTTTTATATCAATACTGTATTTTTATCTAATACTTACTCAATATCTAACAAAACACAGTACAGTAGTCACTAAAAAGGAATAACAAAAATCAGGCTTTGTGTGAATACAAACAGCGTCTTTTTATATATATAAAAAAATACTTTCTGTTTTCCTTCCCTAACTCAATCTGCTCTCAACTATGCTTGCTAATATATTCCGTTTCTGAGGTCTTTCACTTGGATACTTATTAAGACAAGATGTACTGTGTTTTGGTTCTATTTGGCAAAAATAACTTCATAACAAAAAATATATACAAAATATACAATACAAAAAACCAGCGATGAATGTAATGAAACGCCATTTTCTGGGTGAGCCCCGGAGGCTTCCTGGAGCTTATCGGGCTGATGTATGTTATATTAGACCGGGACATTAGCTAAGGAGTTCAGACCTACCAGGGACCAGCGCCAGAACCTGGCCCCTTCAGAGAGGTTTCAGGGAGCAATGGCCCTGGAAAACAATGGCTGCAATGGCCCTGGAAAACAATGGCCGCAATGGCCCTGTTGGCCGAAGCCAACAGGCCATGCGTATGCAAGTCCTCTGTGACCATTGCAGCCGAAAGGGAAGAACCTGCACATGGAGGTGCACCACACCAACATCCCGCAGAAGAGCAAGGTCAAACATGCATGCATAGAGATGCTTGAATTCACCCTCCAGGAAAACCTGCAACGCCATCTGAGCTTCCCTCCACTGCTTGCTTGATACCTGCTTGGTGGGGTTCTGGGAGTTCTTGTACTCTCCAAGCCCGGTAAGAGTTTGGTTCAGCAGGCTGTTGCTTGGAGCGGCCCACAGGCCCACATACCCACCACAGCCCGGTTGGTCCGGCAATCCTTGAAGAAAACTATCCAGTTCTCTCCTGAAGATGTCCACAGTTGTTCTGGCAATATTTCTTATGCTCGCTGGGAGGATGTTGGTCCCACACTCAAGCATGTGGGACCAACAGAATAAATGCCAACCCTCCAAGGAGAAAAGAGGGCAGTCTGCTAACCAGGATGACTCCAGAACTTCATAACAAACCCAGTAAGAACAAGATCTATAACTGAAGGAACACGGATCCATTATGAAGGCATAATCCGGGTTGTGCAGGAGATAAGCTGCAAGGGCTTCCTGCACCACATGGGATGGGATGTGGGAAGTCGAGAACCTCTGAAAAGACGGAACCGAAGAACCAACGGGATCACGGAACTGAACCCGGGGAGGGGTTCGTACTTGGAACAAGGAGGGAGAGAGAAGAACCGCACTCAATGCAACACCATGCCCCACTCCGAGGGTACAAAAACCCAGGCGGGATCCAACGGGGCCCAAGGCCCCCAAGTCAACCCCTTCCCCACCCCGGAAACCTCACTCCGGGGACCCGGAGTCGAGCCATCCTCCAAACCCCCCCCCCCCCCCCGCCTCTAGAGAAAAAAAGCAGGAGCCACCGAAAAATCAGGATCGAAGGGGGGCCCACTAGTCAGACCCAGAAGCTCTGGCTGGAGGACCAGGTTTGAATGCCTCCGCCACCACCCCGGAAGGGGACTTCCCTGAAACCGCCCTAGTCTCAACACCAACTAGATCCTGCCCCGACTCCGAAACCCTCAGACGTTTCAGCCGGAAGCAAGGGGGGAGGAACTGGACGCACAACAGAAGGGAAAGGACATGGAGGGATGGATGGAACATAAGTCATAGCCACTACCACCCCCCAAGTCCGGGTCCCTATAACCAAAACGGGGCAATCTTGGGGCATCTGGGGAAGTAACCAACCTATTAGCATTGCAGCAACCTAAACCAAGCATGCGATGCCCCAGCTGCCTGCACCCTCATATCATGATTAGTAGCTTGGATGAGCTGGAGCACGTACAAACAGCAAACGTCCGCGACTCCAGATCAAAAGAATCACCGACCCTACAGGCAGCATGGCGGGGAAACAACCGGTGATTGTCTGCCTGAGACTAGGGGACAGCTTTCTCTGGGTGAGTCTTTTCAATAAAAGTTTGCATCTCTTCCCACATCTGACACCACTTCTTAATGACTGCAGAAGGGACATTGACAGAGCAACCATCAAACTCGCACGAAGTGAGAGTGGAATCAAGGGTCGCATCCATCAGACCACGGAGCCCCCCTCGTGGGAATTCCCAGGGCCCTTAGCCTTGGTAACACGCTAAGGAAAGCCCAGGCAGGGTACAGCTGACCGGCCCAAAAACTACCATACAAACTGCTACAAGCTGCACCCCTGGGACATGTACACTTGTGGGGGCCTAGCGGAGGACCACCAAATAACAATAGGACACTACCAACCAAGAGGCAGACCCCCCTTCCCCAGGCAACAAAAGCAAACAGAAAAAAAAAACAAGAGGACTATATGCCCAGGCAGAACAGAGCAAACCATTATGAGAGGTAATGACTAGCTGCGCTGTACCCTGTGCCCCTACCAGTGACAAAAACTACAGTGGTACCTCGGTTTAAGAATTTAATCCATTTCTGGAGACAGCTCATATTCCGAAAACTCGTAATCCGAAGCTAATTTCCCCATAAGAAATAATTGGAAATGAATTAATTCGTTCCTGACTACCCAAAAACCTCACTTCAAACTAAATTTTATACCTAATTTATACCTTATACCTATCTAAATAAACCTACAAAACTATGTTCAAGTTATTACTTACCCTTGCTGATGAATGCTGTAGGCGTATGGAAGATGGTGAGGAGGGGGGAGGAGGAGAGGTGTTACTGTTTGGAAGGGGAGTCCCCTTCCATTATAACATCAGGCAGTGAGGACCTCTCTGGGATGCACTCCCTGGCACGTTTTGCCTGCATACCACTAGGTCCTGGTTGTGGCTCACTGCTCAATTTTCTCACCACAAATCTGTCCATGGAAGATTGTTTTTCCCTTCTTCGCAAGATGTGTCTGTAGTGAGGCATCACATTGTCATTGAAAAGATTAATGCAACGGCCTACTACAGCTTTCTCTGGGTGAGTCTTTTCAATAAAAGTTTGCATCTCTTCCCACATCTGACACCACTTCTTAATGTCTGCAGAAGGGACATTCAGTACTGCCTCATCCTCCTCTACTGGAGAAACATCCTCAGCTGTGTCTTCTTGCTGTTCCTTTTGAAGGGCTTGGAGTTCTTCGGTGGTCAGTTCTTCGTTGTGTTCTTCCACCAACTCCTCCACATCATCACTATCCAATTCCAAGCCCATTTGCTGGCCCAGAGTAACAATTTTCTCAACAATAGGTGCATTATTTAAAGGTTCAAACCCCTCAAAGTCTAGTTCGGTCACACATTCAAGCCACAATTTTCTCCAGCCAGAGATCAGGGTTCCTTGAGTCACTTCTTGCCAGGCTTTGTCAACGAGTTTTAAAGCACTACAAATGTTAAAATGGTCTTTCCAGAACTCTTTGAGGGTGAGGTTTGTGGCTTCAGTCACTTCAAAACATTTCCGGAAAACTGCCCTTTCATAAAGTTTCTTAAAATTCGCTATGATTTTCTGGTTCATAGGCTGAATTAGAGGAGTGGTGTTAGGAGGAAGGAACTTTACTGTGAGAAATTTACTGTATCTGTGCAACAATTCGTCTTCCAAGCCTGGAGGATGAGCAGGAGCATTGTCAAGGAAAAGAAGGGCCTTGAGTGGTAAATGTTTCTCCTGCAGATATTTTTCTATGGCAGGGCACACCACTTCATTCACCCACTCCGAAAAAATAAGCCTAGTCACCCATGCCTTTTTATTAGCCTTCCACATCACACACATTTGATTTTTCTGCACTTTATACTGTTTGAAAACCCTTGGATTTTCAGAATGATACACTAGCAAGGGTTTAATTTTCAAATCGCCACTCGCATTTGAACACAGCACAAGCGTAAACCTATCTTTCATAGGCTTGTGTCTGGGCAATGATTTTTCCTCCTTGGTAATGTATGTCCTCTTCGGCAATCTTTTCCAGAACAGTCCTGTTTCATCACAATTAAAAACTTATTGCAGTAGGTATCCCTCAGCCTCTGCAAACTTTTTAAATTCTTTAATAAATCTTTCAGCAGCTGGTTTGTCTGAGCTGGCTGCCTCCCCATGCCTTGCAACACTATTGATACCACTTCTTTTTCTAAATTTTTCAAACCATCCCCTGCTTGCCTTAAAGTCTATCTGCACTCGTTCCAGGGGTTTTCTTTACAAGGTCTTCGTGCAATACCCAGGCTTTCTCACAAATGATGACCTCTGAAACACTATCATCCGCTAACTCCTTGTTGTGAATCCAAATTAATAACAACTTTTCCACTTCTTCAAGTATTTGTGGTCTTTGTTTCGTGATTGTTCTTATGCCTTTTGCCACTTTAGCACTCATAATGTCCTTTTTCTTGCTAAGTATAGTGCATATTGTTGACGTGGCTTTGTTGTACTGCCTACAAAGTTCAACAACACGTGTACCATTTTCATGCTTCCGAATGATCTCTTGTTTTTTCTCTATTGTCATCCTCACATCCTCAGTTTCTTGCCTTGATCCTTACCACTGGCTTTCTTGGGACCCATGGGAAGATATATAATAACAACTTTTATGGTCAAATGACCAAAAATCCAACAAAACACTGAAAATCCTGGTGAAGAATTGAGGCGGGATAGTCATTGGGTGCGAGGCATTGGTAAACTGAGGGGCGATCGCCATACCACCACGCGCTAGGTCGGCCTGTACGCGTATCAACACCCTCACCTTCCGAGGCAAATTTTCCGAGCAAATCCTGTTCGTATTACGAAAAACTCGTATACAGGGACACTCGTATTCTGAGGTACCACTGTACTTCCTACCCAGAGGTAAACAAGGGCAAACAAAAACCCCAGCTGACTCCAAGGGCAGCCAAATACCGAGCAGTAAAAGACACAGTGGAGGTAGACCCCAAGGTGACTTGTGGAAGGTGGCCCCAAGCCCCAAGGGCAGTACTTACAGGGCACCTAAGGAAGCAAACCCTAGGCCCATGCGGCCCGAGTACCAAAGAATATAATATTACTCCTGGCTTGCACACCACCTGTAGAGACAGTCCACGCCACAAGGCACAGAAATTTAAACAAAATCCAGACCCAGTACAGTACCACATCAGCCAAGAACTGAAGAGTGGATCGTCGGCACGAAGGTCTGGGACTCCCACTTTCCCCTCCCGGAAAGGGAAATTGCGCAGACAGCAGCGCGGCAACGTGATGACATCTTGCTAGTTAGTAGTTTTCATTTGGGGAGTTCTGTCCACTCGTTTGGCATTCGGTAGCAATATTTTCACCAGAATAGGGGTTTGTTTTGGGGTGCCTACCTTTCTGGGTGCCAGACCCAGTCGATGGCAGGCATAGAATGCTTCCAACCACATGGGGTTGGAAGCATTCTATAGGCCACTGCTCCTCGTGCCTCTCTGCGGAAGCCTGGTTCTGGTTCGTGGTCCCCAGTAGGCAAAAACTCCATGCACAATTCTGACAATGCATGCCAAAAAGCTAATATATATACATATCAGCCTGGATAACGCCAGGGAGCCTACAGGGCTCCCCCATTGGCTCGGGAATTGGCTGGTGCCCCCCCCCCCCCCAGAAATGAATGTATTGTCAGAATTACATCCAAAGATAAGATAAAATGTAACATATATGACCTTTTCCCATCTTACCATATAACATAAATTCCATTACAGTATAGATTGGCTCAGTTTTGGTGCACACTCCCAAGAGACGCACAATGTTTTCATGGTCAAAGTTTTTCATCATCTCGGCTTCAGAGAGGAAATCCAGCTTCTCAGATATAGTAGAGCCAACCTTTAGTGTCTTCACTGCTACTGCCACCTGGAAACATGACAGCAAGCAGTGACAAACTGGAATATTGACCATGAGAATTATTTTTTGCTAAGATGCATACAAGTTGAGACATAAGAATAAGAATGAGAAAACCAGCGTTGAATGTAATGAAACGCCATTTTCTGGGTGAGACCTTGAGGCTCCCCGGAGCTATCCAGGTTGTTATTGCTAATGTCAGACTTTGGCATCAGTCATGTGTATGGAGTTCTTAGGCCTACCGGATACCACGAGCCAGAACCTGGCCCCCTCAGAGAGGCACGAGGAGCAATGACCTATAGAAACCCCCGTGTGGTTGGAAGCATTCTATGTCTGCCATCGATCGGGTCAGGCACCCGGAAAGGTAAGCATTCCAAAACAAGCCCTTATTCTGGTTAAGAAATTGCTACTGAGAGCCGAACTAGTGGACAGAACTCCCAAAATAAAAACGAGCTAACGAGCATGACGTCACCACGTTGCCGCGCCTACGTCTGGGCAGTTCCCCCCTCCCCGGGAGGGGGAAGGGAGGAGCCCCAGACCCCTCATGCCGGCAACCCAATACCTCAGTTCTGAGGCTGGATATCAAAACACACAAAAAAAACGCCAACCGGAGGGAGGGAGGGTTGCTGGGGAGCTTCTGGGTCTCACCCGGAAAATGGCGTTTCATTACTGTACATTCAACGCTGGTTTTCCGGGGGAGTCCCGTCGGCTCCCTGGAGCTACCTACCCAAAGACGAAAACAAGAGGGACCTAACGTGGGAGGCGGAAGTCGCTCGCTCCTCAACGCGAAGCAGAGACAAAAAACTGCAACTGCCAACCCAAGGCCACGCAAGCCCGACAAGGCCCAGGAACAGCAACGAAGGAATGCATAACCAACCTACAAACGTCATGGGCGCGGGGAAAGACAGCAGGCCGGCTGGATTGAACCACTCTGCGGACAACCCGAGAGAACTGCACCCTGGAACAGGGAAGAAGGGGAACCGGAGCAACCCAAAGAGTGACCCCAGGCACAGCAGCCGTGGCACACAAAGAACGGCGAAGCTCCGCAACCGAACACAACACACGATGCACTACCGGCCAGACCAACCAAGCATCAACAACCCAAGGATCCCTCCGGAAAGCAGCCGCTGCAGTCTTCGCCAGAAAAGAAGGAGACAGCTGCAAGCAAACAAACCTATCACGAGGACCAAAAGAGCCAAAACCCTGGCGCCAGAAGAGAGCATGAAGCACCCCGACCCGACCACCAGAGGCTAGCGCCAACAAGAAAAGAGCCTCGGAAAACAATCTAGAACCGAAGGGGCCGAAGAGAAGAGAGCACAAAATACAAGAACCAGGACGGCTCAAGCGGCGCAAGAGCAGGCCGGAGGTGAACCATACCAGAGACAGCTCGCGAATTGGTGCAGAGGGAACACCAAAACCGAAGCAACCCAGAGTGGCTCCGCCAGCGCTGCACGAGACAAGGCTACAGTATGTGGCAAGATGACAGCCCCAAACCTCCACAAGAGAAGGACAAGACCACACCAACAAAACACAGCAAACCTACTAAGGGACAAAAAGAACCACTAAAAAACCCCACACCGCTGCCGAGACGAAGCATGCAGGTGCAACACTATTAACGAAGCCACCTGATCACCAACAGATGGTTAGAGACTCGAGGCAGAACCAAACCAGCCCTGCCACGGACCGACCGAGCATAGGAAGAGGCGGAGCCGCGTGAAAAACCTCGGGTGCGAACACCGAGCAAGCAGAGCCGGAAACCCAAGCTGGTAAGGAACCAGATGGAACATTTGTCGTACAGAAAACTTCCTAATACCAGCGAGCACGCCAGGAGATTGGAGACACTGTGGTCCCAATGCGAGACTCTTGAGAAGTGACACTGTGAGATCATGAAAAGCAAAGACACCGCATTCCAGAGGAGCAGCAAACTCAGCCCCAACAGGGCAGAACGAAACATGCAATATCGAGTATGGTATGAGGAGAACAAACCAGGACGTGAGCAGCATGAAAACAAAAATGCATCCCCCAAAAGGGAACACAAAGAAAAAAAGCCAGAGCCAAGGCCCAAAAACCTAACACCTCCCGGCCCAATGAAAAGAAACTGCAGAGGCAGGAGAAGAAGAACAGAAGCCACATCCACCTGCATACAGGGCAACCCAGAAGCTGGAAGTGTCAAACAAGGAGAAGATGAAAACTCAGGACCAGAACTAAACACAGGGGCAGTGCAAAAACAGGGAACTGAACAAGGACAAAGTTCAACCTAGTACTGTATTAGTAGAGCTAAGACGGAAACAAAACCGAAGCGACCAACACCCCCAAGCCCCGTCACAATAACCAAAACAGGGCAGCCTCGGGGCTTCCGGGGAGCAAACAACCTAGCGCATTGCAACCACCTAAACCCAACATGCAATTCTCGTGCTGCCTGCACCCGCATAGTCAGCATAAAACTGGGTACCTGAGTCAAACAAGCAACAAAACTCACAGGACTCCGGGTCGAAGGTGCCACCAACTCAACAGGCAACAGACGGAGGCAAAAACAGTGAGAGTCACCCTGAGACAAGGGAACAGAGCAACCCTTGAACTCGCACAAAGTGAGGGGAGACTCAGGGGTCACATCTATTGGACCCATTCGCCCCCGTGGAGAATTCCCATGGTTCTGAGACGGAACTCACGCTCAGGGAAGCCCAGGCAGGGTACTGCTAACCGGCGCCCAAGTCTAACAAACAACTTTCTAAGAACTGAACCCCTGAGATGTGTACACTCACAAGCAGGGGGGGGTACCACCGGAATAGAGAAGAGTACTCAATACAAAGAGAGCAATAACCAAGGCAGACACCCCCCCACCGGGCAGACAAACAAAAAGAAAACCCAGGAAGAGGACAGCATACCCAGGCGAAACAGAGCCGGCCGCTATGATAAGTGAAAACAAGCTGCGCAGTACCCTGCGCCCCTTACCAGTACAAACTGCCCCTACCCTAAAACAAACAAGGGAGACAAAACACCCCAGCACACAAAGGGCAGCCGAAAACCGAGCAGTAAACAGCTAAGCAGAGGCAGAACCCAAGGAACCTGTGGAAGGTGGCCCCAAGCCCCAAGGGCAGTACTTACTGGGCACTTAGGGAAGGTAACCCTAGGCGCATGCAGCCCGAGAACTGAAGAATCACTCCTGGCTCGCACACCCCTATAAGACAGCCACCATGCCACAAGACACAGAGCTGAGACCAAGATCGGAGCCAGAGAACACGACTTCTGCCTAGCGCATCAGCCTCAGAACTGAGGTCTAGGGTTGCCGACACAAGGGGTCTGGGGCTCCTCCTTCCCCCTCCCGGGGAGGGGGGAGCTGCGCAGACAGTGGCGCGGCAATGTGGTGACGTCATGCTCGTTAGTTTGTTTTTATTTTGGGAGTTCTGTCCACTAGTTCGGCTCTCATTAGCAATTTCTTAACCAGAATAGGGGTTTGTTTTGGGATGCTTACCTTTCAGGGTGCCTGACCCGGTCGATGGCAGACATAGAACGCTTCCAACCACATGGGGGTTTCTGTAAACCATTGCTTTTCGTGCCTCTCTGAGGGGGCCAGGTTCTGGCTCGTGCTCCCCGGTAGGCCCACAGAACTCCATACACATGACTGATGACAAAGTCTGACATTAGCAATATCAGCCTGGATAGCTCCGGGAAACTGATGGGGCTCCCCCCAGAAGAGAAGGGAAAAATTTTGAATTCCAAACAACTTGGCAGAAAGAGAATCAGATTCAATGCATATGCATAAACATACAGATACGGTATTACAAATACATCTATCTTTTATATTTTTCACATGTGGTTTTTCCGCATACTTAGATCAGTGTTTATTTATCATTGTTGCACACATCTATCTAAATATAGTCTTTATCTACATAAATACCTAGTACAGTATTTGCATCTTATCATACCTGTGTTCATTAATTTTAATCAGCATAAACAAAATCAGCATTTACTTACCCATCCCTGAGCATCAAACAAGCATTCTCCTCCATATACTGTCCCAAAGGCCCCTTCACCGAGCTTGCGATTGATGACAACTTTGTCTCTTGGAATCTCCCATCCATCAAATATTTCAAACAAAGGTCGGCGCCGCCAGAATTCCTGAATCTGTTCCAATTTTTTTTCATACCTGTGGAACAGAATGTTTTTTTTTTTTGCAATGAAAAATGGAGATTCTGTTTGATTTTGATTTTAATTAATTATCATTACCCCATTTCCCATTTTCATGGATTGGGTAGGTATCAGCCCAAAAGGAAATATGATATAAAAAACCAGCGTTGAATGTAATGAAACGCCATTTTCTGGGGGAGCCCCAGAGGCTCCCTGGAGTTTATCAGGCTAATGTATGTTATATTATACCGGGACATTAGCTAAGGAGTTCAGACCTACCAGGGACCAGCGCCAGAACCTGGCCCCCTTCAGAGAGGTTTCAGGGAGCAATGGCCCTGGAAAACCCCTTTGTGGTTGGGGTTTTCCTTATCTGCCATCAACCGGGGTTAGGCACCCAGAAAGGTAGGCATAACAAAACAAACCCCACATCTTGAGGTTATCTTGAGATGATTTCGGGGCTTTTTTTAGTGTCCCCGCGGCCCGGTCCTAGACCAGGCCTCCACCCCCAGGAAGCAGCCCATGACAGCTGACTAACTCCCAGGTACCTATTTACTGCTATGGTAAAAAACTAAAACAAAAACCGAACAGAGAGGTAGAAACTCCCTACAATCACAAGGAAACAAGGAAACAAGCAAACATCACACTTTACTGCTGCGCCGATCGTCCGTGCAGCCCTCCCCGCCCCGAGAGGGGGAGGGGGGAGCCCCGGACCTACCGCGCCGGCTGCCAAGCTTCAGTTCGGAAGCTAAGCTTCAACCAACGCGAAAAAAACGCCGATCGGTGGGAGGGAAGGTTGCCAGGGAGCCTCCGGGGCTCACCCAGAAAATGGCGTTTCATTACATTCAACGCTGGTTTTCTGTGGGAGCCCCTACGGCTCCCTGGAGCTTCATACCCAAAGAAAAGGAAAAGAAAGGGCTAACCTGGGAGGCTGCCTCCACAAACTCTGCAACGCACAGCCGAGACAACAGGTCACAACCTGCGACCCAAGGCAACAAGAATGCACAGGAGCTCTGGTCCCTGGTAGGTCTGAACTCCTTAGCTAATGTCCCGGTCGAATATAACATATATTAGCCCGATAAGCTCCAGGGAGCCGTAGGGGCTCCCCACAGAAAGTGGGCGTTGACAGAGTGGTCGTTAGAGCCAGTCAGTGTCACCCCTGACAGGTGGGAGTTACCACAAAGATATTATCACCTAATTATTTCAATGTCTCTGATTGATTTTTTCTTAGTTTTTTTGAGGTAATATTATTCAATAGTGTGTATTGTAATATATTTATATAATAAAAGTGGTGAATAATCGCTATACTCAAAAGTAAGTAAGTGATTCAATTATTATGTTCATAAAACAATAAACAAATAGTTTTGCTGCTATTACACTCTATACACACATGTTATATTTAAGTATCTGCATGTTTTGTTCACCATAATGAACCACTAAGATGGTATTGAGAGTAAAAAAGCAATGAGGCATGACCGCGACACACAGCCAGCCACTCATTGCCACTCCCTCAACAACGCCTCACTCGCCCACATTCTCCTCCCACCATCCTGTTTTATATTTTATTCACAATATACAGGCATTATATATAAGAATCTACAAATTTTGTTCACCACAACTATACAACTAAGCTGATATAGTTAGTTTAGACACTAAGAGTCGTTGCTACACACAGTCAGCTGGTGGCTCCCTCACTCATTCAAGGTCACACGCACTAAATTTTCTCCCCCAACAATACCGCTTGTGGTGTTATTACACTATATACAGACATTATATATATGTTTTGTTCACCACAACTGTACCAACTGTACAACTAAGCTGATATAGTTAGTTCAGGCACTAAGAGTTGTCGCTATACACACAGTCAGCTGGCGGCTCCCTCACTCATTCAAGGTCACACGCACTAAACTTTTTCCCCCAACAATACTGTTTGCAGTGTTATTACACTATATACACAATATATATAAGTATCTACATGCTGTATGCACCATAACTGTACACCTAAGCTTGTAGAGTGCCCAATGAGCATAGTGGCCACCCTCTACACAGCCAGACGAATCATGCAGATTCGAATCGCCTCCGTCACCCAAATGGCTCCTCCCAGCATAATCTTTTTGCTGTTATTACACTAATATACACATTATATATAAGTATCTACATTTGTGTTCACCATAGAGAACCACTGAGCTGGTATGGTGAATGCAGACAATAACAGGTGACCACACAGTCAGTAAACGATGCAATCTCCCTCTATCCCTCAGCATCACTCCACCCACAGCGCTAATTATTACAACAATCCTGCTATTATCTCAACCCTGGTTATTTTTATCACAGTCAGAGGTCATCTGTAATATTATCATCGCTAAATAATAGCAATTATATATTTATTTTGACATTTTTCGGCGATGCTGTGGTCACAAGCTGAACAGCAATGCTGTTCGCTCATGCTGCATGCGCCAGCCTTGGTTACTTCCACAGTACTGTCGCTCTCACACCTGAGAATATTGCCCTTGATTTTTGTTAAAAATGGCATCTGTTTACAAGAGCCCTGAGGAAGCTAATGTGAACCCCGTGTAACCGCGGGCCATTTGAATCGTCCCTGGCACCCTATGGCATATATATACGCCATGCGCACCATGGAACATGTTACTCATGGCGTATATATTTACAAGAGCCCTGAGGAAGCTAATGTGAACCCCGTGTAACCGCGGGCCATTTGAATCGTCCCTGGCACCCTATGGCATATATATACGCCATGCGCACCATGGAACATGTTACTCATGGCGTATATATACGCCATGGGCAGTTTAAGGGTTAAGCCAGCACCCAGTCCCTTGCTCCAAGCTAAATCATATTCTTTCTTTATTTGTTCCCAAACGGTTGGGCAATCTCATGACTAGATTCACTTAAGAGCATTGTGTTTTTCCTAAGAAACATTGAGCTCACAGGGCAGTGAACTCATAAATCGTATTTGCTATGGCAGTACATTTATTGTTTGAAACACTGTGTGTGTATGTCTCATGACTTCACCTTCAGTTGTTTCACCTGTGGTTGTCAAATTAAGTTGACCAGTTACATGTAGCATTTCTCCAGTCACTCGCCATTGTCTTGTGGATGAGTCAGATCCTAATGACCCTCTATTAAGTCATGTCCTGCAAGTTCACACACCCCATCTCTTGAAGCCACTGATGTAAATAATCTATCCTTATTCATGGGGAAAGGTTTCTGAAGCCTTATAGAATAGTCTTTTTGCAGACATTAGAAGAATCGCTTCTATACACCCTTAGCTTTATATCTTAGGTTTGGAAATACAATTCAGTTATGATTTTAACACTGTATGTATTAAGTGGGTAATGCAATAAAACCAATAATAATTGTATATTACACACTCAGAGTCACTGTACCTACTCCAAAATAATCAACTAACCTAACCAAAATGAGAAGAAAATGGTGGATGCCAAAACCATCATTAGTTTCAAAGTGTAATATGATAAAGATTATGGGGATGATGGGACACCATGAGCATAGCTCTCATTCTGTAACTACATTAGGGTAATTACACCAAGTGGAGGTGGTGGGTGAACATAAGTATACTGGGTCATACACACCAAAGACCAAAGAGCTGAAGCTCAACCCCCGCAGGCACAATTAGGCGAGTACAACAAGTGAAGGTGGTAAATGAGTGTGAGTATTCTGGGCCATACATCCAATTCTTCTCTAGCTGAATGTTTAAGTATTTCCTAATTTTTCCCATTCAATTTTTCTATTTACACATTATAGCAAAATAGAATAGATTTACAATAATACAAGTCACAGGTGGACTATGTTCCTGGAATGAATTAACAGTTATGTGGATTAGAATACGTACTTGCATAATCAAATAGATGAGGTTCTACTCCATTCTATATAAACTACTATTATTCTTTGTTAGAAGACCTGCAAACATTACATTGAATATAAATCAATTTACTAGGATCACATCTGAAAAATAAAAGAGAAGGCATAAACTAACCTTCTCTTAAAGATGCAAAAGCAGATGATGAGCAAGAGGATGAGCCCCCCAAAGCACAGCGTGCACAGGACAATTAAGGCGTATGCACATTCCAGGTGCACAAACTCGCTGAAACCTTGTATTGCACATCTGCTGCCGTCAACTGGTGCTCTTCCAGTTGGCCATTTGAAAAATTCTTCATTTACAACCAACCTATACAAAATTTACAGTATTTATAAATTGTAACACAATCTAATGAAATAAATAAATAAATCATATTGTATAAAATAATAGAAACGTAGAGGTGGTAGGAGAAGAAAATGCTCAACAAGTGTTCAGAGAGAATCTGTAAGGTCTTCTCTGAATACCTTTTATTCTCTTCTCCGAGGCTGTGGGTCCTCACTGATCCATGAATTGGATCAATGAAGTTGTCTTGGGTGGTAAGAGTTACCACCCAAGACATTATCACCCATTACCTTGGTGATAATATTACCTTGGGAACAAAGTTCTCCTTAAACCATTCACCAAATATTACTCGACATCCATTCATTTTCGTAGTACCTTCTAAAGACCTAAATTTGTTATTATTCCAATCACAAGCAATTTGTATCTGCACAGCACAACACACATACACTGTGCTTATTTTACTTATAACCAACAGTGGAATCATTTTCACCTGATGAGCCATACTACCAATTGTTAACATACGTCAGCACACACCTGTCTCATCTGCATTATAAATTTGCTCACACAATAAATTCTTGTCCTCTGCCATTTCCTCTAATTTATTTAAATAATCTTCTGCACTAGTAGCAGCAGCTAAGTGCCTTTTACCAAGTATTTTAATGCAGATAATTCAGCAGTGGTGATTAAAGCTTTTTAGCCATCCAATGGTATATAAAAACTGCTCAGGAATTTTGTATTGAAATGAAATTCTTAGGCTTTTTCCACAAGCAACAAGCCTACCACTGACTTTTTCATCTCCTCGTGCTTCTGCTTGCACCACTCTCACACACTGCACTATCCACACTATGCACGTTGGCTTTACTCACTGCCTTTCTATTACATATTGCTGTATCACTTTCACTTCAAGACAAATAGTCAAATATAATACATTTAGCCTTAATAAAGTCTAAGAAGAGTAAGTCATGCTAATTTGAGAAAACCTAACACTTCATTATTGTTACAAAAATACAGCAATACAAAATTTATTAGCATTACAAAATAGGATCACCAACAAAGATGTGATTCTCAGAAGCTGTAGATTTCTTTGAACACCTTGGAGCAGGCATTTCGTTTCTAGATTGCTACTTTGAGGCACTGGAAAAGAAAACTAGCTGCTTTAGGGTCTCTTTGTTATTTCAATGAGCCTGGAACCAAGATCCCCTGAAAAAGCTCCTTGCACTTTCTTCTCATGGACCAAGGGTCTCAGATCTGATAGGAACAAAGATGTACTAGTGGTCTATTTCCCCTAAATTTAATGGACTTGAATGTTTTCCTGTACTTACCTAAATGTACTTACAGGATGAGAGCTACGCTCGTGGTGTCCCGTCTCCCAGCACGCTTTGTCATATAACGCTTTGAAATTACTGACAGTTTTGGCCTCCACCACCTTCTCACCTAACTTGTTCCAAATGTCTACCACTCTGTTTACAAAAGTGAATTTTCTTATATTTCTCCAGCAGCTTTGTTTCATTAGTTTAAATCTAATGACCTCTTGTTCTTTAAGTTCCGGGTCTCAGGAATTCTTCCCTATCAATTTTATCGAGGCCTGTTATTATTTTGTACGTAGTGATCATATTGCCTCTTTTTCTTCTATCTTCTAGTTTTTGCATGTTTAATGCCTCTAACCTCTCCTCGTAGCTCTTGTCCTTCAGTTCTGGGAGTTACTTAGTGGCATGTCTTTGCACCTTTTCCAGTTTATTGATGTGCTTCTTAAGATCTGGGCACCATACAACTGCTGCATATTCCAGCTATGGTCTAACAAAAGTCGTGAACAATTTCTTAAGTATTTCTTCATCCATGTACAGGAGTACCTCAGTTTAAGAATTTAATCCATTCCTGGAGATGGTTTATACCCCAAAAATTCATAAACCGAAGCGAATTTCCCCATAAGAAATAATGGGAAATGAATTAATCTTTTCCTGAGTCACCAAAAACTTTACTTCAAAGTAAATTTTATACCTAATTCACCCAAATCTTTACTACAAAAGTATGTTCAAGTTATTTCGACACTATTACTTACACTCATTACTTAGTGACACTCGACACTATTACTTACCCTTGCTGATGACTCCTGTTGGTGTTTGGAAGATGATGAGGAAGGGGGAGGAGGAGAGGTGTTACTGTTTGGAAGGGAAGTCCCTTTCCATTATAACATCAGGCAGTGAAGATTTCTCTGGAGTGCACACTCTGGCACGTTTTGCCTGCATACCACTAGGTCCTGGTTGCGGCTCACTGCTTGATTTTCTCCCTTTTCTCATAAGGAAATGTTCCATTGAAGATTTTTTTTTCCCTTATTTGCAACATTTGTCTGTAGTGAGGCATCACATTGTCATTGAAAAGATTAATGCAATGCCCTACTATAGCTTTCTCTGGGTGATTCTTTTCAGCAAAACTTTGCAGCCTTCCCATACTGCACACATTTTCTTAGGAAGGGACATTCTCTACTGCCTCATCTTCCTCCCCTGAAGATTTGTTGTACTGCCAAGCTAGTTCAACAACATGAGTACCATTTTCATGCTTACAAATAATCTCTTGTTTTTCCTCTATGGTCATTCTCACATGTGATTTTTTGCCTTAATCCTTACCACTGGCTTTCTTGGGACCCATGGTGAGATATATAATAACAACTTTTATGTTCAAATGGCCAAAACTCCAACAAAAAACTGTAAAATCTTGTGAAGAATTCAGCGGGATAGTCACTGGGCGCGAGGCACTGGTAAACTGAGGCGCGAACGCCGTGCCACCATGCGCTAGGTTGGCCATACGTATATCAACAAACTCGTATCCTGATGCAAAGTTCGTATCCTGATTCAAATTTTCCAAACAAATCAGGCTTGTAACCCAAAAAGTTCGTAAACAGGGACATTCGTAACCCGAGGTACCACTGTATTTGAAAGCAATTTTGAAGTTAGAAAGTGTAGCATAGACTCCTTGCACAATGTTCTTAATGTGGTTCTCAGGTGACAGTTTTCTATCTAGAACCACCCTCTTAGATCCCTTTTTTGTCAGAATTCTTTAAAGATTTCTCACATAATTTATAGGTTGTGTGGGGTCTATGTTCTCCAATTCCACATTCTATAACATGGCATTTGTCCTTCTATCTAGACCCACCCCTAGATTCCTTTCTTTGTCAGAATTCTTTAAAGATTTCTCACATAATTTATAGGTTGTGTTGGGTCTATGTTCTCCAATTCCACATTCCATAATATGGCATTTATTCACATTAAATTCCATTTGCCAAGTGGTGCTCCATATACTTATTTTGTCCAGGTTTTCTTGAAGGGCATCACAATCATCTAGGTTTCTAATCCTTCCTATTATCTTAGCATCATCAGCAAACATGTTCATATAATTCTGTATTCCATCTGGTAGATCGTTTATGTAGACAATGAACATTACCGGTGCAAGAACTGAACCCTGTGGTACTCCACTTGTGACATTCCTCCAATCCGATACATTGCCTCTGATTACGGCCCTCATTTTTCTATCAATTAGGAAATTTTTCATCCATAATAGAAGCTTACCTGTCACCCCTCCAATATGCTCCAGTTGCAGGCGATGAGTCACAATAACGTGGTCTAGTCCTTCTAGTGTGTGGTCTGGTCAACATGTTCCAGTTTCCAGAGCAACCTCTTATGTGGAACTTTGTCAAAAGCCTTTTTTATGTCCAAATAGATGCAGTCAACCCAACCATCTCTTTCTTGTAAAATCTCTGTGGCTCAATCATAGAAACTGAGTAAATTCATTACATAGGATCTTCCAACTCGAAAACCATACTCTCTGTCTAATATTATATCGTTTTTCTCCAGGTGTTCTACCCATTTAGTTTTAATTATTTTTTCCAATATTTTGACTATTACACTTGTCAATGATACAGGTCTATAATTGAGGGGGTCTTCCCTGCTGCCACTTTTGCAGATTGGAACTATGTTAGCCTTTTTCCACACATCAGCTATAACTCCTGTGCACAGGGATGCCTGAAAAAATCAGTTGAAGTGGAATGCTGAGCTCAGGAGCACATTCTCTCAGAACCCATGGTGAAACTCCATCTGGACCAACTGCTTTGTTCTCACTTACCTCCTTGAGCATTTTTCCACTTCGTCTCTAGACACCTCTATGCGCTCTATGTTGTTCTCTGGTATTCTTATTATGTCTGGTTCCCTGAAGATTTCATTTTGTACAAACACACTTTAGAACTTTTCGTTTAATGTTTCACACATTTCCTTTTCATTTTCCATGAATCTATTTCCCATTTTCAATCTCTGAATATTATCCTTTACCTGCAGTTTGTTGTTTATGAATTTATAGAATAGACCTGGTTCTGTTTTACATTTGTCCACAATCCCTTTTTCAAAATTTCTTTCTGCCTCTCTCCTCACTGTCGTGTAGTTGTTTCTTGCATCTTTGTATCGCTGGTATGTTTGGGGGTTTGGCCTCTTCCTATATTGATTTTATTTTTGTCTTTTGGTCTCTGGCCCTCTCACAATTTCTGTCGAACCAATCCTGTTTCTTAGTTCTGCATCTCTGGTGTGGTATAAATTTTTTTGTCCCTTTATCATATATTTCACAAAACTTAACATACATCTCATTTACTTCATGTTCTAACAGCAAGTTTTTCCAGTCAAATACCCTAAAGAAATGTCTGAGTTCCCCATAATGACCTCTCCTGAAATCAGGCTTTTCAACTGCTTCAACCTCATTTTCTTCCAGATTATAACACATTGCATACTTTATTCTCAAAAAGACATGGGTCACTTTTACCCAAGGGAGGGAGGTACTGAATGTCAAATATCTCTTCCTGTTTCCTGGTAAATATCAAATCCAGCATGGAGGGAACATCCCCTTCCCTCCTCCTCGTAGCTTGTTTAACATGTTGAAACATGAATGTTTCCAGGATGAGGTTTATGAATCTACAAGTCCAAAAATTCTCTGTTCTAGCTTCATATGCCTCCCAGTCCATGGATTTCAAGTTCAAGTCACCAACTACCAACAGTCGTGATCTATGGTATCTTTATCAGCTCTCGCTATAATTTCTCTCATTATTGTTATAACATCCTCTCGTTTATTATCCAGCTCCTCCTTTGACCATGTGTTGCATGGTGGTGGACTATATGCATTTATGATTGTTAGTTTATCATCCTGATTGCAGATCTCTAGTGCTATTATGTCAACTTCTCGTGGATTGGCAATCATTATTTCATTTACCTTTAGGTGTTCTTTCAACAGCACAGCAACGCCACTGCCTTTCCTAATTCTGGAATAATTTTCCTAAATCCTAATTTAACCTGTGTAAACATACACATGTATTGTCCCATGCCAGTTGCCTACCATTTCTCCATGGGTATACATTACTTTCTCCATAGGTTTACATTACTTTCTCCATAGGTTCACATTACTTTCTCCATAGGTTTACATTACTTTCTCCATGAGAATCCATTACTTTTTCCATGGGAATACATTACTTTCTCCATGGGTATACATTACTTTCTCTATGGGAATACATTACTTTCTCCATGGGAACATATTACTTTCTCCATGGCTATACATTACTTTCTCTATGGGAATACATTACTTTCTCCATGGGAATACATTACTTTCTCCATGGTCCATGGCTATACATTACTTTCCTCCATGGGAATACATTACTTTCTCCATGGGGGTATACATTACTTTCTTATATCTTTAACACACATATAATTAATAAATGGAGTATGAAAACACTTACTCTCCCTCATCAGATGCCAAAGGACCAGGATGAAATCGTCCAACTTCTACATACTGATTCTCTTGAAACTGCCACACAATTATATCTGTTACTCTGGAGGAGCCAGACAAAAAGTTGATGTTCCCAGACACTCCATTGAAAGATAATGATGATATTTGCTTCATGAATGCTCTGAAAAAAAAGTAGAAAAATTAATATGAAAAGCACTTTTATTGAGCATAGCCATCCAGTTGATCCACTATGTTATAGTCAGGATTATCAGCAGTTCAGTATGACAACATTCAGGAATTTTTTCAAGCATCCCTGCAGTTATATAAGGTGCTAAGGAGTCACTGGAGAAAAGTTTAGTCCAACCAAGAATGACAATTCATAAAGACCACAAGCTCTACTATCAAATGAAAGCTCACTAACTGCTCATCTGCTTTCTTAGCGAGCCCTGCTGTCCACCACCAGGTAGAAATACCATACACACCCTTGTGGGACCTTGCTTGATACATTCTTTCAACCGGAGAAGACACGAAAATCTGACACATCACACAGGGAAGGGTGAAACCTACCATGAACCCAAAAGCCAACAGCAAAAAAACACGAGACTTAAGAAATGTCTTTTGGGGTCTATAACTCAGCACATAATCCCTGCATGCTGCATCATACAAATTTTTACCAATTCTCTAGTATCTTGCTATATTGACCACCACAATGGAGGCACAACAGATATCACAAATTGTCCTAGAACTGGCTACCAAGTCCTCTGCCCCTTATTAAAGCATATGAGCACCATTTCATTGGACTTTGAGTCCTCATCTGGCAGCCATTTATGATGCCAAGAGAAAGTTTAGTAGCATGCTAAGTCTTCATGAACGTATCTCTGGCAGTCATTCTGGGATGGAATGAGATTCTCTTCAGTGCTTGCCTTACACCTCATTTGATCCTATATGGATATTTAAAAAATAACCCTGCTGGACTGTGCCTCAACGTTGCACAACCTGATGCTCATTAATACAAACTATGACACAGTGGTTTCATCCCTTGGTGAACAACCAACCGTGACAGCTCAGAAAACACATTACTAAAACATACAAATGATGTTTATTTTTTATATAATTGCTGAATTGACGACTAAATTAAAAAGAAAATGAGCTGTTTTTCAAAGATGCAAACTATATTAAATTATGATTAATAATATTATTTGCTAAAAACTACAAATTGTTTATGCTGTGTATATGAAGGTATATAATCAAGTTATTGAAAATATATAATGTAATGTAATATAACCAAGAGATTATAGTGAGATTATATGACTTACTGAGTAGTATTTGGTGCTCTAAGGTCAGCAGAATAAGACTGATCCTCTTTGAAGAGTTTATCCAAAGCCAGTGCATAGGTCCAGACAGCATCATATGTAAACCCAGCATAGTCAGATTCTGATGCTTTCGTTTTGATGGTTTTATTGATTCTCTGTAATTTAATTGAGTCAAGTTAATATCATTAACCCTTAAACTGCGCATGGCATATACATATATACGCCATGAGTAACATGTCCCACGGTGCGCATGGTGTATATATACGCCATAGGGTGCCAGGCACGATTCAAATAGCCAGCGACTACACGGGGTTCACATCAGCTTCCTCAGGGCTCTTGTAAACAGATGCCATGTTTAAAAAAAAATTGTGGGCAATATTCTCTGGTATGAGAGCCACAGTACTGTTGGAGCAACCAAGGCTGGCGAATGCAGCATTAGCTAACAGTTCAGCTTATGACCACAGCATTGCCTAAAAATGTAAAAATAAATATGTAACTGCTATTATTTAGCGATGACAATATTACATATGACTCCTGACTGTAATAAAAATGACCAGGATTGTGATAATAGGATTGTTGTGATAATTAGCGCTGTGTGGGAGTAGTAATGCTGTGGGAGGGAGGGATATAGTGTCGTTTACTGACTGTGTGGCCACCTGTTATTGTTTGCATTCACCTTACCAGCTCAGTGGTTCTCTATGGTGAACATAAATGTAGATACTTATATATAATGTGTGTATTAGTGTAATAACAGTAAAAGGATTATGTTGGGAGGAGCCATTTGGGTGACTGAGGTGGCGTCGTCTGCATGATTTGTCTAGCTGTGTAGAAGGTGGCCACTATGCACCCTACAAGTTTAGGTGTACAGTTATGGTGCATACAACATGTAGATACTTATGTATATAATGTGTGTATATAGTTTAATAACACCCCAAACAGTATTGTTGGGGAGAAATTTAATGCGCCTGACCTTGAATGAGTGAGAGAGGCAGCCGCCAGCTGACTGTGAGTGTAGCGATGTCTCTTAGTTCCTGAACTAACTATATCAGCTTATTTGTACAGTTGTGGTGAACAAAACAAGTAGATACTTTTATATAATGTCTGTATATAGTGTAATAACTGCAAAACTATTTGTTTATTGTTTTATGAATGTAATAATTGAACCACTAATATGAACACCATACTTTTGAGTCTAGTGATGATTCACACATTTTATTATATAAATCAATCACACTATTGAATAATATTACTGCAAAAAAATAAGAAAAAATCAATCAGAGACATTGAAATAATCAGGTAATAACTCCCACCTGTCAGCTCGGGTGACAATGACCGTCTCTGACGACCGCTCTGTCAACGCCCACATTTTGCCAGACTTCCTCAGCCTATTGTGCCTAAAATGTGTTACCTACTATTTATTTTTTATTTTTCCTGTGCTCAGGGAACACAAATTAACATTTTTAGAAGACAAAATAATTTTTTAGATTTTTTTTCTTGCACACAGGGGTGTAAATTTCCTCAGGACCTGTTAGCAGCTTAAGGGTTAAGGCTCATCTTAAGTCAAGAAAAGATAAATAATACCAAAGTAATACGTTGTAATACATAATTTACTATAAAAAGAATATTTAGGCTATAAGATGGAACTTACATCCCTAGACTCTGTAGGCATATGCACTACTGACTAAATCATGATGAGTATGCAATGCGAAAAAGTCAAGTGGTAGCTAATCAGCTAAAATATTAAAACAATAAAGTATTAGCATTGCAAAAACAAGGTACTGTACTCTATTGTGAAATGAGTAAGGCATTATCTGCCATATGTGGATTGGTGGGTAGGTGGTTGGTTGGTGGATGTATTGGTGGGTAGGTGGCTGGCATGTGGATTGGTGGATAGGTGGTTGGGTAATGCATGTGTATTAATGGGTAGGTGGGTGGGTGGTGCGTGAGCTTGAAGGGAGTATTTTGAAAGGACTATACTGTACTATGTGCACTGTAATAAACAAAGCACAGTAAAAATGCAAGAATAGGAACTATCTGCTGACAAATATCAATTTCACTTTCAAAGGGAGCCGGTTGGCCGAGCGGACAGCACGCTGGACTTGTGATCCTGTGGTCATGGGTTCGATCCCGGGCGCCGGCGAGAAACAATGGGCAGAGTTTCATTCACCCTATGCCCCTGTTACCTAGCAGTAAATAGGTACCTAGGTGTTAGTCAGCTGTCACGGGCTGCTTCCTGGGGGTGGAGGCCTGGTTGAGGACCGGCCCGCGGGGACACTAAAGCCCCGAAATCATCTCTAGATAATCTCAAGATAACCACTTGCCTAAATCTATGACAAAACATAGCTACCATATACAGTACAAATTCGATGAAATCCTACCAAACGTCAGTTACAAATTGTATCACAAAGGGGCTCCCTAACCTCGCTGTATAGTTTCCTCCATTCCTTCACTGTTATTCCTTCCTGCATAATGTCGTCATCTTCAGCAAAGTACTTGTAGGAGAGGGACATGTGCCCTTGAAGAGCTCGGTGCATCTCTGCTGTAGTGCACTTGTTGTATGTTGGAATATGGTCTGTGTCATACCAGCCTGCTGAGTACCAATGTGGCAGGAACCATAGGTAACCCTGAAACAACACAACATTTATATAATAATTACTATTAAGACATCGTGCAGCATGACCACATCCAGTGTGACCACATCCAGTGTGACCACATCCAGCATGACCACATCCAGTGTGACCACATCCAGTGTGACCACATCCAGCATGACCACATCCAGTGTGACCACATCCAGCATGACCACATCCAGTGTGACCACATCCAGTGTGACCACATCCAGCATGACCACATCCAGTGTGACCACATCCAGCATGACCACATCCAGTGTGACCACATCCAGTGTGACCACATCCAGCATGACCACATCCAGTGTGACCACATCCAGCATGACCACATCCAGTGTGACCACATCCAGTGTGACCACATCCAGCATGACCACATCCAGTGTGACCACATCAGTGTGACCACATCCATGACCACATCCATCCAGCATGACCACATCCAGTGTGACCACATCCAGCATGACCACATCCAGTGTGACCACATCCAGCATGACCACATCCAGTGTGACCACATCCAGTGTGACCACATCCAGCATGACCACATCCAGTGTGACCACATCCAGCATGACCACATCCAGTGTGACCACATCCAACATGACCACATCCAGTGTGACCACATCCAGTGTGACCACATACAGTATGACCACATCCGTCATGATCACATCCGTCGTGATCACATCCGTTGTGACCACATCCGTCGCGACCACATCCAGTGAGACCACATCCAGTGTGACCACATACAGTATGACCACATCTGTCGTGATCACATCCAGTGTGACCACATACAGTGTGACCACATACAATATGACCACAACCAGCATGACCACATCCGTCATGATCACATCCAGTGTGACCACATACAGTATGACCACATCCGTCGTGACCACATCCGTCGTGATCACATCCAGTGTGACCACATACAGTATGACCACATCCGTCGTGACCACATCCGTCGTGATCACATCCAGTGTGACCACTTACAGTATGACCACATCCGTCGTGACCACATCCGTCGTGATCACATCCAGTGTGACCACATGAAACTCTTTAAACTTTCAATTGCAGCATTATTGATACACATAACTAAAGATAAATTAACTCATTTAACTTAACCAAAAATAAAATTCAATAAACTGTATGTACACTACATTCTGTACATTGAATGTAAACATGTTTTAAATTAAAAATCTTGCATTTTGCATATAAATAATTGTATAATTCAAAGCTGCAAAATGTTCAATTGAACACCAAATATTATTTACTACTAATGACAAAAAATGTACATATTAACAAGCATGTATAATATTCAAATGCTCAAAACAGAACCACTCCTTAAATCTTCAGAAATGATATCAACTGAAATTTGAATGTATCAACACATTACCTCATAACCAGTCATTTTCAGGTGGAAAGCATCGCATATAACCTCACGAGCAACATCTTGGTAGAAGTCTCCAATGATGATGTAATAATTTTTATTCTTCAGGTCGTTGAGGTACTGACTCATATCAGGTGTAGTCCTCTCCTGGGGATACTTCAGCGTTTCCAGTTCGATGCCACTATCCTGAACATGCAACAGAAAAAAACAGCCATTAATTATTAAACTAGTACAGTAGTCCCTATAAACAAAAAATGAATACAATTACTGATACAGTACAATGTAAACTTGTTCTTACATTCAGTGAGAGGATGGTCTCTCTCAAGATTCTCCCACAGCTGACTTGAATGGCTCATTGCAGTGTGCCGTGCACCGATCTGAGTCAACTGAGTTACTATTTGTGTTACTATTTGGTGGATGGGTCTCATTTGAAAAATATATGGATAATTTTAATTTTTGTTAGTGAGGTCCTGCATATTGTATTGACCCTTGTAAATGTTCTTTTTGATACGGTTAATAAGAAAATGTCATAGAAAATCTTAAAATATGTCAGTGTTGAGTTTTAATAAGTTTTGTTCAGTGGAAATTTTAATTTGACTCAGTGAAGGTGCCGGAAATGTTATTCTGAATATAGTTATGAGATCATATCTTCTTAATTATTTATTGGAACAAGCTTCCAAGAAATTTCACATCATATCTTGAACTGGAGAGAATATTGTGGATACAAAAGTGAATGATCCATAGGGGATCAGATCATGAGGTAGAGTGACAGTCTCGCTTCATGCAGATCGACATTCAATCCCCGACCGTCCAAGTGGTTGGACGTCATTCCTTTCCCCCATCCCATCCTAAATCCTTACCCTTATCCCTTTCAAGTGATATATAGTTGTAATTGCTAAGTGCTTTCTCCTGATAATTACCTTACCTTAGGGGATCATGACCCTACTAATGAAAAATAAGCTCTAGGGGGCTGGATCCTCAGAAACACTGATGAGTGTGAAAGCTCTTTACTGACAGGTTCTCTTGTAATGACTGACAGCATTGGAGTATAATAACTTTTAAACTACAAAATGTATTTGAGGTGAATTAGGAATAAAATGATTCAATTATGTGCATTGATAAAGTTTCTGGGAAAAAAAATGGAAAAGGTTTTAAGATGGTAGGAGAAATGAGCACTAGAGGAAAGACTAATGAAGATACATGACAACAGTTTCAACTTGATAAGGAGGGGGTAAATCAAAGAACAGAGGGTGAATGTGGCAAATACTCTGATGAAAAGTGAGAAGAATGTGAATGTTATGTGCACTGGTTGACACTGAATAAAAGATGTGAGAGAGCATCAGTTTTTTTATGTACTGGGAATATTGTGATGTACTATAGTTTTGTGAAAAGTCTACTCACTCAACTTATTGGGTATTAGTTGAACATGTACATGAATGAGATAAGCAGATAAAATGTGCACTTCATTCACCTCAACATTTGTGGAAAAGAAGACATAGATAAAGAGTAGAATAACAAATGTATAAAATACCCTAGCCCAAGAAATTAGGTTAAGAGTGTTGAACAGCTGAATAAATTAATAAAGAGAAAGAGATTGAAAAAGACCTATTTAAATGCTCAAATAGCAGTTTTTAACCATTTCCTCAGACTTCCAACAGTTATGATCTGTTTAATACAATTCAGCAACCACACCAAATTAAACCAATTATGTACATTTTGTGAAATATGACAAGACTGTCACTCCAAATGACACAAAAATTATTCAAATAATAAACTTAAAGAATAAAACAAAATATGGAATAATTGATAAAAATGTCTATCATCCAGCAACTGACCTGCAACAAGTCACGAAGCAGGGTGAGATACTCAGAATACCTCTGTCCATTTTCAGTAAGTGAAGCTATTCTCTTCCATCGCTCATGAGCAAAATACTTGGTGTAAACATGTCTGAAAATAACATACAATACAATTTCATTTCATGAAGTGTAAGTATCATTCTCTTCCTACAGTTCCCAGCATATATAAACATCCCTGAAACAAATGAATTACTCAAAACCCTTGTACTGACTACCCATGGCTAGTTCTCATCTACTGTATTGTGTAATTCATCAAGAGCTCAGGTATCCTGTATCTTTGTTTTGTTTTTAAGTAACAGAGGAACAAAGTTAGAGCATACATAGCCCAAAACTGAATAATATGCAATTAAATACTTTATGAATATTTAACAAAGACGTTCTGAGAAACAACAGCAGAAAAATGGAGCACTTAATTAGTACTGTATACTGTATCCATATCTTAGCCAGGTGGCATTGACACCCATAAAAGTATAGCTATGGCTTGAAATCAATTGAAAACATCACCAAAACATAGTGATACAATACTATCCTGTACATAAATATCATATCAAAATGTTCAGTGATTCCCACTATACATGCTACTGAACATCTGGGTGGCCACTGACAGTTTTGACCAATTCTTACCTATTTAGATTTTTGACCCATGTGTATCATGTATATTATTGCTTGTGCAAAACAGGAACAGTTATACCAGATAATTATATAATAATTACCGAAAAATCCTGTTTTCTGGAATGGTTCTGAAGAAGTATGGATAATGATCTTTATCTGAAAATATGGCTCCTTCAGCGCCATATGAGATGATTGGCACATTAAAGTACTTTGAAACACCAGCAATTGGCTCCACCGTATCAGAACATGCTGGACCCACAAATCCAATCTGAAAAGTATTCACAGATGGAAAAATAAATAAAACTGGCTATGAATAAAAATTCTGTAAAATACTTAATTCTACTAAAAAGTGTTAATATGACAAAAATAATAAATTAACTCAGATTGATAATATACTGCATAAACCTTCACTCTGACTATAAATATCACAAGTACTGCATTAATATAGGCAAAACAGAACTTAACAGTAATATAACATGATATATATGATAGTTTTAAGATTCTCCAGAAGTACTGTGTTGTCAGCGAACTTGTAAAAATTAATTAAATAACAGATATATGCACGTAAACTTTGTTATAATATGTGTAAACTCGGTCATATATAATTTAATTATAATTAAAAAACCAGTGTTGAATGTAATGAAACGCATTTTTCTGGGTGAGCCCCTACGGTTCCCTGGAGCTTATCGGGCTAATGTATGTTATATTAGACCGGGACATTAGCTAAGGAGTTCAGACCTACCAGGAACCAGCACCAGAACCTAGCCCCTTCAGAGAGGTTTAAGGGAGCAATGGCCCTGGAAAACCCCTTTATGGTTGGGGTTTTTACTTATCTGCCATCGACCGGGGTTAGGCACCCAGAAAAGTAGGCATAACCAAACAAACCCTACATGGTAAAAAACTAAAACATAAAACTGAACAGAGAGGTATTAATTCCCTACAATCCCAAGGAAACAAGCAAACATCACACTTTACTTCCGCACCGATCGTCCGCGCAGCTCTTCCCTCCCCGAGAGGGGCAGGGGAGAGCCCCGGACTTCACCACGCCGGCTGCCTAGCATCAGTTTGGAAGCTAAGCTTCAACCATGTGAAAAAACCGCCGACGGGTGGGAGGGAGGGTTGCCAGGGAGCCTCCAGGGCTCACCCAGAAAATGGCGTTTCATTACATGCAACGCTGGTATTCTGTGGGGAGCCCCTACGGCTCCATGGAGCTTCATACCTAAAGAGAAGGAAAAGAAAGGGCTGACCCGGAAGGCGGCCGCCACAAACTCCACAATGTGAAGCCGAGACAACAGGCTGCAACCTGCGACCCAAGGCAACAAGAACGCACAGGAGCAGACACACGCACAAAGAACGGGCGGCCAGGAACCTGTGCAACCCTTAAATCCTTGCGCCCGAAATGACCCCTAGACGTCACCAACACAGCAGCGAAAGTTGCAAACATCCGAACAGCATGGGTGCAAGGATAGACTGCAGGCTGGAAAACTTAAAAACTCTGTGAACGACCTGGGAGACCCGAGCCCTGAAACAGGGAACAAGGGGAATCGGATGAATCCAAAGTGCATCCTTATACACAGTACGCAGGTAACGGCAAAGAAGCACAACTGGACAACACAGGACACACCCCCGGCTGAACCAATAAAGTATCAATAATCCAAGGACCCCTCCGGAAAGCAGCCGTCTCGACCATTGCCAGAAGGACTGAGAAAGGCTGCAAACGTACAAACCTACCACCAGTACCAAAGAGCAGAAATCTCTGCACCGGTAGAGCCGGAAGCTCCCCGACCTGATCCGAAGAAGCCCATGCGAACAAAATATGGGCTATGAAAACCAAACTTGAACCGAAGGGGCTACAACAAACTGAGAAGAGGCACCCCGATCAAGGACCAGGACGGCTCAGGCGACGCATGAGCAGGCCGGAGGTAAAACGAAACACAAGAAAGCATACAAAACGGGGCAGATGTGATGTCCACTCGAAACGCAAGCCGGAACGGCTCCGCCAGCACCGCACAAAACGAGACAATAGTAAGAAACATCAAATAACTGTAGTCCTGAAAACACAAGAAAGGACAAGACAAACAGATGCGAATGAGAAGACAACCTACGAAGAGCAAGAAAAAGGTGCATAGAAACACCAGGAACCTCATACTGTCGCCGAGACGAAGCTAGAAGGTGGGACACCATCAACGAAGTCACCTGATCACCATAGAGATGGTGATACCCATGTCAAAATACCAGACACGAAGAACCGAGGAGAAGACTGAACCAGTCACATACAGGACCGGTCCGACCTGCCGAAAGAGGCAGAGCCGCGGGAAAACACCCCGGGTTCGGACACCTATCAAGCAGCGTCTGAAAATAAAGCTGGGCCGGCCACCAAAGGACCATGAAGACTATTCGCCTTGGGAATGAACTCCAACCGAGCCAGAACCTGAAGCAACAGCTGGACCGGGAGACGAGGAACCCCCACCTCGACCAGTCCTGCCGAAAGGCATCCACCATGAATACCTCGCAGGCGGGTAAGGGCACCACATAGAATGGGCAACGCCTAGACCACGCCGATGCGAAGATGTCCAAAGCAATGAGCCACTCGTAGGGACCAACCCCAAAGGTCAAACACCTAAGAGAAACCCTGTGGTTCCGGCAAAGAACCTCCAGAGAACAGTCCGAATGGAGCTGGATGGTAGAGCACCGAGTGACCTGAACCCTTTGAAACGCAAATCAGACAGCCACGAACTCCTGAACCGTGCTGTAAGCCCGACAGACAGACAGACCTCACCATCCCCGGCCGACCTGGTGAGCACTGGTCACAAAGCCCCAGCCGAGAGATGACCCGTCCGTGAACACATCGAGCGAAGTCTCGGGGAGGTGCCAAGGCACAGAACCCCAAAAACCCCAAAGAGGAAGCTGGTGACGCAGTACCAACACAAGATCCCTGGAGGACGAACCCAACAACTGCAAGAAAGGCGGAAGGGGAGTCTCCGAAGGAACCAAACAGATGCCGAAGCCAAACGCGACCCTGCGGGCAGACCAGCACGTCGAAGTTCAGACTCGCGCACAACCGCTCGAGCATCCACTGAGCAACCCGAGACCCCCTCATAAACAGCCAAAGGCGGGACCACAGCTGCAGTAACACTTCTGGAGGGAAAGACAAGGAGCGGCCCAAGACCCAGACAGGGCACCAAGATCCGATAAAGATGCGTAAATACACCTAGTGCCAGTTACAAACTAGGGAAGGCAACAAAAGTGGCAAGCCTGAATCCCCATCACCAACTGTGCCAGTCCTGGAAACCTGTAGAGGAATGTGCCAAGAAGTGACCTGGAGGTCTAGGGCCACCATCCAAGCACCCGGCCCCAACAGAAGCCGGACCGGAGACAACAGTCTTCCGATGAGGGCATAGAATCCAGGGCGCAGACTGAACAAGTCCAGAAGAACCGCAGATCCACCAGGCCCGTGTCTGCATAGAGCAAACGGAAACCCCAGAAGGATGGGGTGGATCGACAACGTCCAACGCACCCACTAAGATGACATGATGAAGCGCAGGGGAAGAAGCCCACCCCGCCAGCCCCGAACTCCCCAAAGGGGAAGAAGCCGTCCGCCGCCACCAGAGGCCGGAAGACGACCAAAAACGCCCACTAACTGCGGGACCAAGTGAGAGTCAACAGAGCAAGCTGCTCCCCCAGCACCCCATCAACAGCGAAGGGAACAAAGCCCCTTCCGAAAGAAAAATGATATAAATATAAATACACACACATAAGGTGTATTACACACACGTGGGTATGCACATGCACATACACACATGTGCGCACACACACACACACACATGCACACACAGTATACACATGTACATGTACATGTGTACACACACACATACACGTGAAAAAAATACAAGCCGCCGATCAGTGGGCAGAGAGTACCACGCCGGCCAGGTGAAGAAGGTACAAAACTGCATCAAAAGGCCCACCTCGACAACAAAACCCAAAGCCCCGGCATGATCACAACACGTGCCAAGACCCAAAAAGATCAGCCTAGCCAGGAAGACCCCGGAACCCCAGAAGGCAGAACTGGGTCACACACGAGGAAACAAAGCCCCCTGAACCCAAAAATGGGGCCCAAGAGGAAGAAACCTCCAAAACAAAACCAAACAACCCAAAGGAACCCGGAATCGAACCCAAGGGAGCCCAAACCACAACATTTGCCGGCGGAGATACACCACAGAAAGGCAAAGCACAGCCCCCGGACAGAACCCCCAGGGAAACGGCCAAAACAGACCGAAAACCGAGGGACATAAACAGACAGGGACACTTAGCCCAAAGCCTAGGGCCCAGACCCAAAACAGACAAAACGGAAAACCCAGTGTAAAAATCAACACCCAAACGTTCCCAGAGGAACAGAAGACGAGCAGAAAACACCAGAAAAGCAAAAAAATGACAACAGGAGAATAAACCCCCTGAAAGAGGTGAAAAAACTCACCCAAGAAGCTCGCTCGCACATCCAGGCACGTGTAAACAAACCGCAACGCCGCCCTGATGGCCACCGGCAGAAGAAAATGGCCACCAGAACAGGGGGGCCATGATTGATGCAAAAGATACGAAAACACACCAGCAAAAGTGGGAAGCAAGCAGACTGGATGGGTGAAAAACTCCGCCCAGAAGCAGAAAACCCAGGCAGGGGCAAACAGCCCCAGAACTGCTAGCAGGCATCCCCCATAGCACCGAGAAACCGCATCAGATGCCCCGGGGCAGAGCCGTCCTCCAAGCCCTCCGCCCTTAAAGAAAAGCAAGAGTCCATGGGAAAGGCATCCAGAAAGGGCCGCTGGTAAGACCCAGAAGCCTTGGCAGGAGGAACAGGCTCGAAAAACCTCCGTCCCCAACCCGAATGGGGCAGCCCCCGAAACTGCCTGAGTCTCGGCCCCAACTAAACCCCGCCCCGACCCCGAAACCCGCAGACGGTCCAGAGCCAGGAACAGGGAGGGAAAGGGGCGAACAGCACCTAACCAAAACAGGGTGGCCCCGGGGCATCCGAGTGGGAAACCAACCTAGCATGTTGCAGCAACCTAACCTAGCTTGCAACGCGGATGCCGCCTGTACTCTGAACAGTAATAACATCAGAAGAGTACTGGAGGACAAGCAGAGAATATATCTCACAAAACTCCGGGTCAAGGTGTCAGTGACCCAACAGGCAACATGACGGAGGTAAAAGTGGTGACTGTTACCCGGAGACAAGGGCACAGCAACCAACGAACCCGTACAAGACAGGTTGGAACCCGGAAGACATTCAGTGGTCCACCGAGCCCCGACAGGGTTTTCCAGGGCCCGTAGGGTAACAACTACGGGAAGCCCGGACAAGGTGTTGCTAACCGGTTAAAACCCAAAACTAACAAGGGGGTAGAGGACAACACTGAAAACCCCTGAGACGTGTACAATCACGGGGGCCTAGCAGAGGGCCGCCAAACACTACCAGTAGAACTATAGCCACACTGGGCAGACCCCCACCAGGCAAATGAAAATAAAAACAAAAGAAAAACCCTGCAAAAGTACACCGTCTCCAGAGGCAACAGGAACCGGTCGCCGCTTAGGTGGCAGGTCGCGCAACACCTTGACACCCTAACCAGCACAATACCAGTCCCTACCCAAGACCAAAAAAGGGCCCCAAGCCCCAGCTGGCCCCAAGGGCGAGGCAAATGCCGAGCAGCAAGAACCTCTCAGGAAATGGTTCCCGAACGCCCCAGGGAAGATAACCCTGTCATGCAGGGGCAGTACTCACAGGGCGCTTAAGGAAAGGAAGCCCCTAAACGCATGCAGCCCTGGTACTGATGAGGAACACCTGGCCACTGCACAACACAACACAACACATGGCAGTGAACGCCATACACTGCCATGAAACCACTGCCACTGCCACCGCCTAGGAAACTGGGGCCAGAGAAGCGTCTATCCCGGTTGACATTAACTTATGAACTGATGCTAGGCAGCCAGCGTGGTGAAATCCGGGGCTCCCCCCTCCCCCTCTCGGGGCGGGGAGGGCTGCGCGGACAATCGGCGCGGCAGTAAAGTGTGATGGTTGCTTGTTTCCTTGGGATTGTAGAAAGTTTCTACCTTTCTGTTCGGTTTTATGTTTTAGTTTTTTACCATGTGGGGTTTGTTTTGTTATGCCTACCTTTCTGGATGCCTAACCCCGGTTGATGGCAGATAAGGAAAACCCCAACCACAAGGGGGTTTTCCAGGGGCATTGCTCCCTTAAACCTCTCTGAAGGGGCCAGGTTCTGGCGCTGGTCCCTGGTAGGTCTGAACTCCTTAGCTACTGTCCCGGTCTAATATAACATACATTAGCCCGATAAGCTCCAGGGAGCCGTAGGGGCTCCCCACAGAAAAGATAAATATTATTACATTATTACTTTGTTATTATTATAATGCTGATATTTGGCTTGCCATTGTGAGTCAAATTACTGAATATTAATTCACTTTTGTGAATTAATATATTACAAATCCTTAATGTGTCTAGTAAGAGATAGTTATATATCACAGTTCTATCTGCTTCTGTGTTATAATGGTTGTGTTGACAAATATTATGGTGTCATTTTAACATTGACTGTGTTAAGATAAAGTCACATGAATGAGAGTATTCCAAGGTCACGCTCCTCACCAATGCAGACATGTTTAATTTCTATCACATTTTAAAATGGTTGCATGTGATTTTTACAGAGCACTTCTTTTAATGTAATTAACAACTAAATATTTTGCATTATTATTTCTATATTTACCATATCATTGTAGAACCCTAAGGTAGAAGACCTCTGAAGAATCTCAATGAATTGCCTCATTACCATGGCAGGCTCGCAGGCTCCATTTAAAACAATTGAATGAATAGAAAAGTCACTCAGGATGCTTTTATTATTATTCACAGCCTCAACTGCCATGAAGAATGCAGGAACACTGCCTGGAGCAGTAAACCTATGTTTTTCAGACTCTGTGGCACTTATCGGAAAAAGGCCAACCAGCTTCAGTTCATGCTTTGTGCTCCCGGGCTGCCACATTTCCCAGCGATTCTGATGTAAAGATTAACAAATATTAAACCAAGTAGCACACATTAATTATAAGGATATTTTCCCATAAATTAAAACATTTAAAAATCTAATGGATGATTTACTGTGGCAGTAGAGTGTAAAAATAGTTACTATGAGGACATTAGCAAAATAACTATGGAAGACAGAGGAAGTAAAAACAGAAGAGATTTGAAAATGTCATGACTGAATATCAAAGAGGAGCATCAATGTGAAGAGGAAGCTTGTTATTCTTAAAATGTAATTGTCTATTATATACTATCTCTATTATATACTAGAGGAGAAAGGGGGAAAGTATGATAAGCAAATCAAATTATGAAACTAGCTCTCCACATATGTAAGCTGCTTAGCTTAGAAACTGTACTGAAACTTATTATTCAATATAGGCATGAGAGTCACTGCTAGCAACAGTATTACTGACCTACTCATTACCAAAAGAGCTTGTACACAGGCTGGGCTACAGAAACAGAACTTTTGAAACCATCCACAAATAAACAACAGGTAAACTACAAATGATTCATTGCAACACAATGCATATTGGTAGACAATAGATTCTGACCAAAATTAGAGGCAATGGAAAGATTCTGACTCACAACAAATTAAAAACGGAGCGATTGATTGACAAGTGATGAAGCAAGCTACAAGGAGAATGAATGTGAGTGGATGAATGGGCCCGTGAAGAGTGAAAGATGCATAGGTGAAGGAGCTGATGGGAGAATAAGCTCATGTGCGAATATGCAGGAGATGAGCAAGGATATATGAAAGTGAGTAGGTGGGTGGGTGAATAAGCAGGAGGAAAAGCAAGGCTGCATGAATGACCTAGTGGATAAATATGCAGGAAGAACAGCATACCTTATTGTTCAGCATCCAATGGCAGGCAACTTCATCAAGAGTTGAAGGTGTTTTCTCCCATGAATTGTATGTGCTTAGTAAATCCATGAAGTCCGTGTGGTTGATCTGTACTTTATGGAAAGCCTGAAACATACGGGAAATTAAGTATCTTTAATGATGCTTTGCTTTGGATTTTGTAGGTGACATTCACTTTGGAAGACATTTCATAAGTCCTGAACATGACACTTTATTTTGGACAACCATTTTAAGGCCTTGTAAATTAAGAACTGCCTTCGTGTGTATGTATGTATTTATGTATGTATTTATGTATGTATGTATTTATGTATGTATTTATGTATGCATGTATGTATGTATGTATGTATGTATGTATGTATGTATGTATGTATGTATGTATGTATGTATGTATGTATGTATGTATGTATGTATGTATTCACCTAGTTGTACTCACCTAGTTGTGTTTGCGGGGGTTGAGCTCTGGCTCTTTGGTCCCGCCTCTCAACCGTCAATCAACAGGTGTACAGATTCCTGAGCCTATCGGGCTCTGTCATATCTACACTTGAAACTGTGTATGGAGTCAGCCTCCACCACATCACTTCCTAATGCATTCCATTATTCAACCACTCTGACACTAAAAACGTTCTTTCTAATATCTCTGTGGCTCATTTGGGCACTCAGTTTCTACCTGTGTCCCCTTGTGTGTGTGCTCCTTGTGTTAAATAGCCTGTCTTTATCTACCCTATCAATTCCCTTCAGAATCTTGAATGTGGTGATCATGTCCCCCGAACTCTTCTGTCTTCAGCGAAGTGAGGTTTAATTCCCGTAGTCTCTCCTCGTAGCTCATACCTCTCAGCTCGGGTACTAGTCTGGTGGCAAACCTTTGAACCTTTTCCAGTTTAGTCTTATCCTTGACTAGATATGGACTCCATGCTGGGGCTGCATACTCCAGGATTGGCCTGACATATGTGGTATACAAAGTTCTGAATGATTCTTTACACAAGTTTCTGAATGCCGTTCGTATGTTGGCCAGCCTGGCATATGCCGCTGATGTTATCTGCTTGATATGTGCTGCAGGAGACAGGTCTGGCGTGATATCAACCCCCAAGTCTTTTTCCTTCTCTGACTCCTGAAGAATTTCCTCTCCCAGATGATACCTTGTATCTGGCCTCCTGCTCCCTACACCTATCTTCATTACATTACATTTGGTTGGGTTAAACTCTAACAACCATTTGTTCGAGCATTCCTTCAGCTTGTCTAGGTCTTCTTGAAGCCTCAAACAGCCCTCTTCTGTTTTAATCCTTCTCATAATTTTAGCATCGTCCACAAACATTGAGAGAAATGAATCGATACCCTCCGGGAGATCATTTACATATATCAGAAACAAGATAGGACCGAGTACAGAGCCCTGTGGGACTCCACTGGTGACTTCACGCCAATCGGAGGTCTCATGTATGTATGTATGTATGTATGTATGTATGTATGTATGTATGTATGTATGTATGTATGTATGTATGTATGTATGTATGTATGTCTATTATTTTATATATAAATACAGTATATATATATATTTATAGTACTGTATATGTATATAATTAATCAGTTACTCTATTTTGAAGAACAGAATATGTTAAACTAAAACTTACATAATAAGCAAATTTTGCATATCTCTTTAGCTTCTTCCAAATAAATTTATGAAACCGATGCATTTCATACTTGCACTGATAAGGGGGATCTCCATCTGCCCTCTGGAAAAAGAAAAGGTAAATTATAAACACCTGAACTCTTCATAAGGCCCAAATGAGAATCTACTCAATGTTCTAGTCTAATAACATAATTGAAAACTAATACTATCCTAATGCTCCTACTACAAAAGTGTACACTGCCCAAAAAATTATATGAATGATATTTTAAAATTTTGATATTCAAGTACGTTTATGAATTTAATCCAGTCCCAGAGGCAGTTAATAACCCGAAAATTCGTAACCGAAACAAATTTGCCCATAAGAAATAATGTACATGTATATTGAATTAATCCATTTCACACTCCCAAAAATATTAACTTCATTAACTTTAATATTCAAATACTAGGTACATTTCATACCTAATACACACAAATATTTAGTACTATAGTATGTACAAGTTATAGCTTATCTTTACTGATGACTCTTGTTGGTGCATGGAAGACGGTGAGGAAGGGGGGTTGGAGGAAAGGTGTTAGTGTTTGGAAGGGGAGTCCCCTTCCATTATAACATAAGGCAGTGATGACTTCTCTGGAGTACTCTCTCTCTCTCCTACGTTTTGCAGGCATACCACTAGGAACTGGTTGTGGCTCACTGCATGCTTGTCTTACTAAAAATCTGTCTAAAGACATTTGTTTTTCCCTTCATTTTAATACAGATCTGTAGTGAGACATCACATTGTCATTAACCACTACACTGCTCTGCATTAAAATATGACACCCCTGTGGTGCGCCGAAAATAAATTCTTTCCAAAAAATTATTTTCTCTTCTTTTATTATTAAAATGCAGTCTCTGATCATGAGAAACTAAACAAAAATATTGTATGTGACATATTTTAGCTGTGATGGAGCTGGGAAGTTAAGCCAATTATGGGCACTGAGTGATGGAGCTATCCCGTGGGGTGGCAGTTGCCATAAATATAACGTTTCACAATTATTTTGATGTTTCTCATTTCTTTCTTCACTGGTTTTTTGCTGTAATATTATTCTAAATTATGTAATCTATGGAATTTATATCATTCAATGTGTGGAACATTGCTATGCTCAAAATTACGGGGCTTATATATGTGACATATATATTATATTCCACTATTAATCAAACAGTTTTTTTGCTGTTATTATACTATATACACACATTATGTATACCTATCTACGTTGGTGTTCATCATAACGAGCCACTAAGTTGGTATGGTGAGCCCAAAAAACAAGAGTGGGCTGCCACATCCAACCAGTCCTCCCACCCTCCTTCAACATCCACTCGCCAACATTCATCCTCCCACCATACAGTTATTGTTTTTATTACACTATTTGTACACATTATATATAAGTATCTACATGTTTTATTCACCATAACTATATAACTCAGCTGGTATGGTGTCCAAACAGCATAGTGGCCACTGCATGACAAGTCACACAGCAGGTAGCAGATGATGCTAGAAGACGACGCCACCTCCCTCACCAAAATGGCTCCTCCCAACACACACACACACACACTTGTAATAAAGTTGTTACATCTTGGCTTAACATGTTTATGACGTATTAGAACGTTGTTACAACTTGCTATATTGGTTGTTATAACTGGTCGTGTTATAACACGACCTGACAAAAGATGATGGTAGCCGAGGCTATTTCCCCATCATCCCGCAAGCACTCTGATGGTAATCTTGGGCATGGTATACCAAATCACCTCATTTTTAGGGGCCATGTGAGCAACACAAATGCGAACAAGCCTGATTGGTCCCCCAGGCAAATATGCAACTGAAAACTCCACACCCCAGAAGTAACTCGAACTCATACTGCCAGGAGCACTATGCATCTGGTGTACAGAAGCCCTTAACCACTCAACTATCACAACTGGACAAAAGATGATGGTAGTCAAGGCTATTTCCCCATCATCCCGGCGTCGCTCTGATGGTAATCTTGGGCATGGTATTTTATCAAATCACCTCATTTTTAGGGGCCACGTGAGCAACACAAATGCGAACAAGCCATACGTATCCATATATATATAAGTATCATATATATGGATACTTATGGCCATATCAGCCATATATATATAAGTATCTACATTTGTGTTCACCATAGCGAACCACTAAACTGGTATGGTGATTCCAGACAATAAAATGTTGCCACACATCAGCCAGCAGACGACGCTACCTCTCCCTCCATCTCTCACCAAGAATACTCCTCCCACCATACTACACACATCTATAATTTTTACGACAATCCTGCTATTATCAAAATCCTTGTCACTAAATCCTGTAAATGAATAATTTTCCAAACGTTTATTTTGTAAAGGAACATGAGAAGTCATTTGAAGATTCTTAGATGGACGAAATAATGGCAGTGTGCTATGGCTAGCACTGTGAACATCTTAAACAACATTGATTCACTGATATCTGAACATTGTACACAGTATCACACTCAGGCAATACTATCATGGTGAAATAATACCAGATACAGTGGTACCTCGGTTTAAGAGTTTAATCCATTCCTGGAGACAGCTCGTATTCCGAAAACTCGTATTACAAAGCATATTTTCTCATAAGAAATAATGGGAAATGAATTAATCCATTCCTGACTACCCCAAAAACCCCACTTCAAACTAAATTTTATACCTAATTCATCTAAATAAGCCTACAAAACTATGTTCAAGTTATTACTTACGTTGCTGATGACTGCTGTTGGTGTATGGAAGATGGTGAGGAGGAGGGAGGAGGTGTTACTGTTTGGAAGGGGAGTCCCCCTTCCATTATAACATCAGGCAGTGAGAAGTTCACACGTGTGCACACACTGGCACGTTGTGCCTGCATACCACTAATTTAACTGCATACCACATACCACACATACCACTTGTTTATTTTCTCCGAGTCTATCCTTTTATTATTAAAACTGAATTTATTGAATTCTCGTTTGTTGTTTCTTTTGAGCCTACTACCATTATTAATGTTAGTTTGCACTTCAATGAGCTTGTGGTCCAAGTACATAGTATCTGAGACAGTAATGTCTCTTATTAGCTCATCATTGTTAGTGAATATCAGGTCCAGCGTGTTTTCATTCCTAGTTGGTTCTGTAGTCTGCTGACTGAGCAAGAATTTGTCACAGAATCTCAGTAGTTCTCTGACCTGTGGTTGGTTATTTCCAGGTTGATTTCCTGCTATAATGTTATTGTTTACTATTCTCCATTTTATTCTGGGTAGATTGAAGTTTCCAAGGAAGATAATATCTGGTCCTGGGTTTGCAAGGTTATTAAGGATATTCTCTATTTTGTGGACCTGTTCAGTGAATTCCTCAACTGTTGCATCTGGCGATTTGTATTATAAAATAATAAGTAGATTAATATTTTCTACCTTGATTCCAAGTATCTCTACCACCTCATTGGACGAGTTCAGGAGCTCTGTGCATGCTGTCTCCTCTTAACATGCCTGTGCATGCCAGTTCCTCCTGCTGTTAGCTCATGCTGTGTGCACCAGCCTTGGTTGCTCACTCAATACTGAGGCTCTCACACCCGGGAAAGTTGCCCACGATTTTTTTTTTAAATGATGTCTGTTTACTAGAGCTCTGAGGAAGCTGATGTGAACCCCATGTAGCCACAGGAGTTTTGAATGCTATGCTATACTTACGAGCGCCCTGAGGCGCTCTGCACATCCCCTATATAGCGCCTCAAGGCATTCTGTGCAGTGCATTGGTTAATAAGGTCAATGCAATGGCCTGCTAAAGCTTTATCTGGGTGAGTTTTTTCAGCAAAATTTTGCAGTTCTTCCCATGCTGCACACATTTTCTTAATTAATGAGGAAGGAACATCTTCTACTGCCGCCTCCTCCCCTGAAGATTTGTTGTCTGCCTAGCTATTTCAACAGCCCATGTACCATTTTCATGTTTACGAATGATCTCATGTTTTTCCTCTATGTTCATCCTCACATGTGTTTTCTTAGGTTGAACATTACCAGTGACTTTCTTGGGACCCATGACATGATATATAATAACTACTATTATGTTCAAAATCAAAAAAAGCAGAAAAACACTGAAATTCTTTACAAAGAATTCAAGCGTGATCGACACTAGGTGGGAGGCACTGGTAAACTGAAGCGTGGGCAACCATGCCACCAGGAACCACGCGCTCAGTCACCCATATCTGTATCAACAAATTACGTAACTCGAGGCAAAGCTCATAACCCGATTCAAATTTTATGAAGAAATTGGGCTCGAACCTGAAAAATTTGTGAAGAGGGGCATTTGTAAGCCGAGGTGTCACTGTACTGTAATTTATATTATTCCCTCACACCCTCCCGCCAATTTTTACTCATTTGATATTGTGCCCAGCTTTAGTGGAGAAATCTGGTATTTTTTCATACATAAGTTAACATAAGTGACTTAAAGGCACTGTATACACTGCTGAAATGTTAACTAATAATGTAATTGTAATAACAACATTTAATTTTAAAATCTCAAATAAAACTTACAACTGTTCTATCGATGCATGGTGGAAAAGACACTGATACAAAATCAAATGGTTGTAGAAGAACAGATGGCCTCCAGTGGAATATGAGAATTGATCGCTCATCATGCCCAGGAATGTGGCTGTTGCGCTGGACAAATTTATGATCAAGGTTTGGTCCAATCCACACCACTCTCACATAGGCCTTCATAGATTCAATTTGTCCACTAATGAGCTTAGTCACATTATAATCTGAAATGAATTAAAAAAAATGTACTTTCAAAACAGTCCTGTGCAGTATATAGGTCAATTTTAAATTATAAAATATTAACATTTTTCCTAATGGCTTTGAGAAATTATCTGTAAAAGAATCAAGTGTTAAGTGTTCACATCATAATGACAGATGAAGAATTTACTATACTGAAGTTATGTTCACATCAAAGGTCACATTGACGTAAAAATTCATCATGAAAATCAGTAAAACTACTGTACCAATAAATATATGACTTAAATGTTTTTCCAAGTATTGCTGAAAGAGAATGTCACAATCTTCATACCCAGCCACTACAACTTCTTGCCAGCCAGTTACACACAATGGCTAATGCTGGGTTTGGGAAATGGCTTTAGACTGACATATAAGCTTTAATATAATTGTTTAATTAAATTTTTCTTGAATACAGTTTTCTTATTTTATTTTATTTAAATGTTAATATTATTATCCAATTAATTTACCTTTTAGTGATTATCTAATTAATTTACTTTTTAACTATCATCTAATAAATTTACTTTCTCTGAAGAGCCCCTCCAGCTCCCCGGAGCTATACAGGGCTGATGTGTATATATTAGACCGTGGCAATAGTCAATCGATGCAGTTCTTAGCCTACTGGGGACCACAAGCCAGAACCTGGCCCCCACACAGAAGCATGGGGAACAATGGCCTATAGACACCCCCATGTAGTTGGAAGCAGTCTATGTCTGCCATATACCAGGTCAGGCACCGAGAAAGGTTGGAATCTCAAAACAAACTACAGCTAGTTTAAAATTGCAAACTGAAAGCCAAACGAGCAGGCAAAACTCCCCAATCAGAAAACAAGCAAACAAGTGCTTGTTTTCCAATTTGGAAAACTTGTAGGTGGAGTGGATATAGTGGATAAAATAAAAAAACAGGATGGTGGGAGGAGAAAGTGGGCGAGTGAGGCGTTGTTGAGGGAGTGGCAACGAGTGGCTGGCTGTGTGTTGCGGTCACTCCTCGTTGCTCTTCGACTCACAATACCAACTTAGTGGTTCGTTATGGTGAACAAAGCATGCAGATACTTATATATAAACTGTGTATGGAGTGTAATAACAGCAAAACTATTTGTTTATTGTTTTATGAACATAATAATTGAATCACTAATATGCACACCATACTTTTGAGTATAGCAATGATTCACCCCTTTTATTATATAAATATATCACAATACACACTATTGAATAATATTACTGAAAAAAACTAAGAAAAAATCAATCAGAGACATTGAAATAATTAGGTGATAATATCTTTGTGGCAACTCCCACCTGTCAGCACGGGTGATGCTGACCGGCTCGGGTGATGCTGACCGACTCTAACGATCTCTCTCTGTCAACGCCCACATTTTGCCAGACTTCCTCAGCCTATTGTGCCCAAAATATGTCACCTACGATTTTTATTTTTTATTTTTCCCGAGCTCAGGGAACACAAATTAACATTTTTAGAAGACAAAATAATTTTTTAGATTTTTTTTCTTGCGTACAGGGGTGTAAATATCCTCAGGACCCATTAGCAGTTAAGGGTTAAGGCAGCGTCTGGGATGCTGTCGGATGTAGGTTCGAACCCTTTTCACAGCCCTTATGGATTTGCTCATTTGATGCATCACGCTATTGTGATTTCTGTGTGTAATGAAGTAAGGGCGAAGAGGTAGAACGGCCTATTGACAGAACTCAAGTGCATAGGGAAATTGCGTAAAATCCTGGTTTGTGTCTCGGAGAGGCTGCAGGGTCCAAGTAGGAGCAGTAGAACTTCTGGTTGCAATTCTTTTACCATGTCGTAGTGCAGTCGATTAAGGCAGCGTCTGGGATACTCTCGAACGTAGGTTCGAACCCTCATCACGGCCCTTGTGAATTTGTTCCCTATTCCTGCTCTGTTGCCTTCTTCCTGTGGATGTTGTGGGTTTCTCTTTGTTATACTCGTGACTGATGTGACAGGCTGACCAAGAATATATGTGACCTGGGTCACCATTTGGCAGTGGTTCGGAACATCATGATTATGGTACAATGCATTTACCTTGTGTTGTTTACCTTGGGATTCCTAATTTCCTTTAAACACTAACTTGCTTTGTTGTACCTATTCTCTCTGGTATATGGGTTGATCTCCTATACTAAGCTTCCCCTTGCCTTATCGAGCTTGTATTATCCTTGTCTTGGATTCCAGTAGGCAAAGGTGGTACAATTTTCTAAGGCATGGTAATACCATCACTTGAGGTTCAGGAACTACTGAGTCAGCCATCCCAAATAAACCATTACAATAATTTTAGGGGGATTGCTAGGAGGTTACGTACGCAGATATGCCTGCAATACAAGTGTTAATGTCAAGATATTTAATAGCATATACTGCAGTCATTTGTGGGAGGTACATTTCCTAGCTCACCTGGCTGTGACTCACAAATTATACTGCAAGCAGCTGTGTCTAATAGTCTGGTTGACCAGACAACCAACCAGGAGGCCTGGGCAGAGACCAGGCCACGGGATGTTTATCCCGGAACCAATATAAGGTAACCACAAAGTAGGAGGTTATGTGTGAGTGATACAATGTATATACTATAAATGAGTTCTTACTGTTAGTAATATTTACAGTGTGATGATAGGCAAACATGTTATTCTACAAGTGGCCTGTCGGCACTTTCTAACACCACATATTGTTACATAAAACTAAATTACTGTACCTAATATTTTCCTAAAAATCCATAATAAATGACATCACAATAATTATCTTTGACAAATTCACAGACCAGAAAATTTTTGTTGAAAGGAATGTATTAATTCTCAAAAACACATCAACTCAAATTGAATATGCATTACATATGAAAAGCTTACCAGCATAAGATGCAAAGAGGACGGCACATATCTGATCACGTGTGCAACGTGATGGTGTGTACATCCCCTTTTTACACCCAAGGCTATCTGGGCAGTAGAATTCTCCTGTTTCTGGGTCTTTCATCTCACTGGACAATGACTGCAGCTCTGATGCAAAATAAATATATATATAAAATTATTAATAAATCATACAATAATATGATTTCAATAATTATTTTAAAGATACTAAATTTATAACTCCTAACATTTAGGTTTTATGTAAAATCCATTTTATAGGGATTGTAGAACAGACAGCTGTGCACACTACTGTATATGTATAAATGGCGAGAATCAGTCAGAAACTGGATTTTTTTTATCTGACTCAAAGTTGAAATTATAGTTATAAATATAACCGAAGTTGAAGTTATCGACAATGAACAAGGTAGTTCTAATTCATTATTTTACTTTTATGTTTTAATAAACACTGTTTGGCATTCGTACTCGAATATGTGAAAGTTGTAGGTCAATATGTGTTGAAATGAAGTCTAGAAAAAATAACCCCCCCAAAAAAAATATAGTGATAATTATAATACATTGGTACCTTGATTAACTAATTTAATCCGTTACGGCACTGAGCTCTTCATGTAAAATGCTCATCTTTCAAAATGAATTTCCCCATTTAAAATACTGTATTGGAAATAAAAATAATCTGTTCCACCACTGAAAAACATCAATATGATATTCGATTTTTTAAATGATGGAGCATCCTACCTAACATACACTGAATAAACCTTTATGACATTTGTCCTTCTTTCAAATTTGTTCAATTTTTTTTTTTCATTTTTTATAGCAAAAGGTTTGTTCAGTGTTTGTCAGGTAGGCTGCTCCATTACTAATAAATGAAAAATACAAAACAAATTGAACACGTTTGAAACAAAGAAAGAATGTTATAATGGAACATCCTACCTGAACAAACCTTTATGGCATTTGTCCATTTTTCAAATTTGTTAAATTTTTTCTTTCGTTTTTTTTATTTTTTTTTTTAAGAAACATGGAGCAGCCTACCTGACAAACACTGAATGAACCTTTTTGACATTTGTCCCAAGTTCTGCGAGTTGTGACTGATTTATTTGTTGACCAATTTCATTCAATCTTCACAAAGTTAGGGACAAGTATATACTCTCCAGGATGTAAAGGTTACAACAAAATCAGATAATAAACAAAGGAGAACAAAACTAAAACTTAAAAAACCAGCGTTGAATGTAATGAAACGTCATTTTTTGGGTGAGTCCAGAGGCTTCCCAGAGCTATCCAGGCTGAATGGATATGTATAACTTTCTGGCATCAATGTGCACAGAGTTCTTGCCTACTGGGGTACATGGGCCAGAACCTGGCCCCCCCCCCTCAAGAGAGGCACGAAGGACAATGGCCTATAAAAAAAACCCGTGTGGTTGGGATCATTCTATATCTGCCATTAGCCGGATCTGGCATCCAGAAAGGTAGGCACCCCAAAACAAACTCTCTATTCTGGTGAAACTATTGCTACCGAAAGCCGAATGAGTGGATAGAACTCTCCAAACTAAAATTAGCAAAATTAAGCCCTACGAGGGCCAAGGACATTGACAAGATAGCGAGCTGCCAGGACCCTGTTCGACCTCCAAAAATCCTGTGCCCAAATGTCAACCCAAGACATTTTGCCAAAGATGCCAGCCAAAGTAGTAAACTTATGCACGTCATGGGCACGAAGATAGATCGCAGGCTGGCTAGCCTTAGTAATCTGGCAAATGACCAGGGAGACCTGAGCCCGGGAACAGGGAAGGAGCAAAACTGGATCAACCCACAGCGCATCCTCGTCCACCAAAGCTGTGGCACAAGAGCCGCCACAAAGGCGGAGAGCCGCAAACCGGCAAATAACGGTGGAGAGCCGTAACCGGACGCAAAACATAATGCACCCCTAGCCTGACCAACCAAGTATCAACAACCCAAGGACCCCTCTGGAAAACAGCAGTCTCATTCTTTACCAGAAAAGAAGGAGACAGCTGCAACCAAACAAACCTACCACCAGAACCAAAAGAGCAGAAGCCCCTGCGCCAGAGGAGAGCATGATGCTCCCCGACAGTATTCGGCATAAGATGATGGTCCTGAAACAACCACGACAGGAAGGACAAAACAACCCTATCAGAGACTGAAGTACACCAGTGATAGGAAAAATCAGAAGGACCGCCAGGAAACCTCATACTGCTGCCGAGACGAAGCCCGCATATGGGAGACCAACAACGAAGCCACTTGCACCCCATACAAATGGTGATAGACTCGAGTTAGAAAGACCCGATGCGAAGACTTGAGGAGAAGAGCGAACCAGCCTCGTGATGGTCAGGCACTGACCGATAGGACCGATATCCTGAAAGAGGCGGAGCCACGGGAAGACTCTCGGGTATGGACACCGAGCAGGCAGCGCCTGAAACCAAGACTGGGCCAGCCACCAAGGGGCCAAGAGGACAACTCTCCCCTGGTAAGTCTACAAGCGAGCCAGGACTTGGAGCAACAGCTCAACCCTGAACCGGGGGGGGGAGGTATAGGTATATAGGTATCCCCACCTTGCCCAGTGCTGCCTGAAGGCATCGACCCCGATGGCCTCGCAGTCGGGGAAGGGTGCCATTTATACCGGGAAATGCTTCAACCATGCTGACGCAAAGAGATTCACTTCCAGAGGCCCAAACGTCTGGCAGAGCCAACAGAACGAGTCTGCGTTGATCGTTCATTCCATGGACAGGGGAATGAATCGGGACAGGCCGTCCGCCAGGACATTGGACACCCCCCCCCCCCCTTACGAACAGGAACTGCCAGGAGAGCCAAACCCCCAGAACTGAGCAGATGAGTCACCCGAAGCAACCAGCCCTAAAGAGCCAAGGATCGCATCGAACCCCCGCGGTTCAGGCAATGAACCACTGGGGAACAGTCAGAATGGAGCCAGACCGTCGATCAGCGAAAGACCCGAATCCTCCAGAGTGACACCCACACAGTTGCAAACTCCCACACCGTGTTGAGAGCGCAACGGAAGGAAGGAATACACTTCCCCTGGCCGACCTGGTGAGCTCTGGACACAAAGCCCCAGCCAAGAGACGATGCGTCCATGAACACATCGAGCGAGGGCTCAGGTAGGCGCCAAGGCACTAAACCCCGAAAAACCCGAAGAGAAAGCCGGCGACGCAGCAACTGACGCACTGCCCCCAGAGGCCGAACCCAGTGGTCGCGAGAGGTGGAAGAGACGTCCCTGAAGGAACCAGAACAGCCGACAAAGCCACACCCTACCCAGCGGGTAGACCATCATAGCAGTCGGTCCTTTAGGCATTTTTTGTGTCTATGTCGGTTGTTATTTCTGATCGGGTTGTTTTGTCCTTTCTCTCTTGGTTGTTTCAGGACCGTCATCTTATGCCTAATACTGTCGCCTCGTATCAAGCGGCGCTGGCGGAGCTGCTGCAGATTGCTTTTGGGATGGATGTCACTTCTGTTCCATTCCGCAAGCTTTCTCATGCTTTTTTCACCTCCGGCCTGCTCATGCACCGCCTGAGCCATCCTGATCGTTGGACCGGGTGCTCTCTTTTCTCTCTTCTCCTCGGTTTGTGGTGGCCCCTTTGGTTCAGGATTGTTTTTCTAAGGCTCTTTTCTTGTTGACTTTGGCCTCTGGGGTCGAGTTGAGGAGCTTCACGCTCTTCTCCGGTGAAAGGGTTTCGGCTCTTTCGCTCCTGGTGGTCGTTTCGTTTGTTTGCAGCCTTCTCCTCCTTTTCTGGCGAAGAATGAGTCTGTTGCTTTCCGAAGGGGGTCCTTGGGTTATTGATGCTTGGTTGGTTCGGCCGGGGGTGCATCATGTTTTGTGTCCGGTTGCGGCTCTTCGCCGTTATCTGCGCGCTACAGCCTCTGTAGCAGGGACGCACTTTGGGTGGACCCGGTTTCCCTTCTTCCCTGTTCCAGGGTGTGGGTCTCCCAGGTCGTCCACAGGATTATTCGGTTCAACCAGCCTGCAGTCTATCCCCATGCCCATGATGTTTGCAAGTTCGCGGCTTTGGCTGCTGTTTTGGGGAATATGTCCTGGGCTGACATTCGGGCATGGGGCTTGGAGGTCGAACAGGGTCCTGGCCGCACGGAATCTTGTTAATGTTCCTGGCCCTTCTTAGGCATGTGTAGCCTTAGATCACAGGTTGCAGCCAGTTGTCTCGACTTCAAGTTGAGGAGCGAGTGATGACTGCCACCTGGGTAAGTCCCTTTTTTCTTTTTCTTTGGTTAGGTAGCTCCGGGAAGCCGAAGGGGCCCTTCACAGAAAACCAGCATTGAATGTAATGAAACGCCACTTTCTGGGTGAGACCCAAAGGCTCCTCGGAATCCCTCCCTCCCTCTGGTCGGCGTTTTTTTCGCGTTTTTGATACTCAGCCTCTGAACTGGGGAGAGTTGCCGGCGCAGAGGTCTGGGACCCCTCTGTCCCCCTCCCTCCCCCTCCCGGGGAGGGAAGGGTTGTGCAGATGAATATGCGGTGTTTGTCGTTACGTCATACTGGTTTCCTTGGTTTTGATTGAAGAGTTCTGTTGTTAGTTCGGCTTTCGGTTTGCAATTATTTAATCAGCAGTAGTTTGTTTTGGAATTCCTACCTTTCTGGATGCCTGACCTGGTAGATGGCAGACAAAGACTGCTTCCAATTACACGGGGGTGTCTTTAGGCCATTGCTCCTCGTGCCTCTCTTGAGGGGGGGGCCAGGTTCTGGCTCTGGTCCCCGGTAGGCCTAGAACTCCTTCGATTGACTGTTGCCACGGTCTAATATATACACACCAGCCCGGTATAGCTCCGGGGAGCCTCCGGGTCTCACCCAGAAAATGGTGTTTCATTACATTCAACGCTGGTTTTTTCTTATCAGCTCATGGACACTGTTTAATAATTATGGTTGTTTTAATTTAATAACAAAGCAATATTTCAGTCAAAAAAACTTTTGAAGATACAGCACTGGACTCAAAGATTTAATGCTCACAAAACTAATCTTTTACTTAAACAAAACAAAAAAAAATAAAGTACTATAAAGTACAGTGTATATTTGTCACTTACCTTCGTATGTCCTAGAAAACAGTCGAAGGGCTTTTGAAGTTGGGTTAGTGTAAGATCTCCAGTGATCTAAAATAAAATCCCGATCAAGCAAACTCTTGGGTAGAAACCACCCAAAGCGTCCACCAGATCCAAGATAACTGAAAAGAAATTGAATTGTCTTAATAACATAATCATTATACAAGACACTTGGTAAATTAAGGCAACAAACTCCAATACAGTACATACAATCTTATTTCAAGTATATTCCACTTAATAGGTGAAATTATTTGAAAATTAGCCATAAAAAAATTTCAGCTGCATATATCCAATGTCAGCTAAGTACCTAAATCTGATACATAAAGACATTACAGTATCTCATTCACTGTATAAGGATTCCCTTCCCCCCCCCTCCCCCCTGTGTTCCCTACATACAGACTAATGCATTATTGAATGACAACATGCGTTTCAGTAGTGAGGATGGTCTAGTTTTTGTATATTATTTATATATATATATATATATATATATATATATATATATATATATATATATATATATATATATATATATATAGTTTGTTTGCAGCCTTCTCCTCCTTTTCTGGCGAAGAATGAGTCTGTTGCTTTCCGAAGGGGGTCCTTGGGTTATTGATGCTTGGTTGGTTCGGCCGGGGGTGCATCATGTTTTGTGTCCGGTTGCGGCTCTTCGCCGTTACTTGCGCGCTACAGCCTCTGTAGCAGGGACGCGCTTTGGGTGGACCCGGTTTCCCTTCTTCCCTGTTCCAGGGTGTGGGTCTCCCAGGTCGTCCACAGGATTATTCGGTTCAGCCAGCCTGCAGTCTATCCCCATGCCCATGACGTTTCGTAAGTTCGCGGCTTTGGCTGCTGTTTTTGGTAATATGTCCTGGGCTGACATTCGGGCATGGGCTTTTGGAGGTCGAACAGGGTCCTGGCCGCACGGTATCTTGTTAATGTTCCTGGCCCTTCTCAGGCATGTGTAGCCTTGGGGTCACAGGTTGCAGCCAGTTGTCTCGACTTCAAGTTGAGGAGCGAGTGGCGACTGCCTCCTGGGTAAGTCCCTTTTTCTTTTTCTTTGGTTAGGTAGCTCCGGGGAGCCGAAGGGGCCCTTCACAGAAAACCAGCATTGAATGTAATGAAACGCCATTTTCTGGGTGAGACCCAAAGGCTCCTCGGAATCCCTCCCTCCCTCTGGTCGGCGTTTTTTTCGCGTTTTTGATACTCAGCCTCTGAACTGGGGAGAGTTGCCGGCGCAGAGGTCTGGGACCCCTCTGTCCCCCTCCCTCCCCCTCCCGGGGAGGGAAGGGTTGTGCAGATGAATATGCGGTGTTTGTCGTTACGTCATACTGGTTTCCTTGGTTTTGATTGAAGAGTTCTGTTGTTAGTTCGGCTTTCGGTTTGCAATTATTTAATCAGCAGTAGTTTGTTTTGGAATTCCTACCTTTCTGGATGCCTGACCTGGTAGATGGCAGACAAAGACTGCTTCCAATTACACGGGGGTGTCTTTAGGCCATTGCTCCTCGTGCCTCTCTTGAGGGGGGGGCCAGGTTCTGGCTCTGGTCCCCGGTAGGCCTAGAACTCCTTCGATTGACTGTTGCCACGGTCTAATATATACACACCAGCCCGGTATAGCTCCGGGGAGCCTCCGGGTCTCACCCAGAAAATGGTGTTTCATTACATTCAACGCTGGTTTTTTCTTATCAGCTCATGGACACTGTTTAATAATTATGGTTGTTTTAATTTAATAACAAAGCAATATTTCAGTCAAAAAAACTTTTGAAGATACAGCACTGGACTCAAAGATTTAATGCTCACAAAACTAATCTTTTACTTAAACAAAACAAAAAAAAATAAAGTACTATAAAGTACAGTGTATATTTGTCACTTACCTTCGTATGTCCTAGAAAACAGTCGAAGGGCTTTTGAAGTTGGGTTAGTGTAAGATCTCCAGTGATCTAAAATAAAATCCCGATCAAGCAAACTCTTGGGTAGAAACCACCCAAAGCGTCCACCAGATCCAAGATAACTGAAAAGAAATTGAATTGTCTTAATAACATAATCATTATACAAGACACTTGGTAAATTAAGGCAACAAACTCCAATACAGTACATACAATCTTATTTCAAGTATATTCCACTTAATAGGTGAAATTATTTGAAAATTAGCCATAAAAAAATTTCAGCTGCATATATCCAATGTCAGCTAAGTACCTAAATCTGATACATAAAGACATTACAGTATCTCATTCACTGTATAAGGATTCCCTTCCCCCCCCCCTCCCCCCTGTGTTCCCTACATACAGACTAATGCATTATTGAATGACAACATGCGTTTCAGTAGTGAGGATGGTCTAGTTTTTGTATATTATTTATATATATATATATATATATATATATATATATATATATATATATATATATATATATATATATATATATATATTTTTTTTTTTTTTTTTTTAATAAAAGTTTGTGAGGGTACCACCTCTGGTGCCAATGTGGGGACCCATAGCCTCGGAGAAGAAAATAAAAAGTATTCAGAGGAGACCTTGTGGTCTCTCACTGAACACTAATATTATCTTCTCCTACCACCCCCATTCTTTTGTATGTACACATATATATTTACTTTATTTGAACTTTGTTACAAAAAAGGAGTTACATATGGGTTACAAAGATGGTTGTTATAGGTTGTCGAGTTCCTCCAGCTCCTCAGATGGCGGGCAGGAACCCTGGATGCAGTGCGCATTTCCCCTCTGTATCGCCACACTGAGGCGCTGGAAAAGAAAGCTTGCAGCTCTCGGGTCCCTTGTTGTTTCAATGAGCCTAGAACCCAGTTCCTTCAAAAAACTGGTAGCACTTTTACCCAGGCGCCGAGCGTCTCAGAAGCAATGGGGACAAAATTGTAGTGGTGATCCAGTTCTCTATACTTACGGGATTTGGCTGCTTCCCTGTGGGTGGCAGCGCCACCTGGTTGTGCAACACTGAGGTTAATGTATATATATATATATATATATATATATATATATATATATATATATATATATATATATATATATATATATATATATGTCGTACCTAGTAGCCAGAACCCACTTCTCAGCCTACTATGCAAGGCCCGATTTGCCTAATAAGCCAAGTTTTCCTGAATTAATATATTTTCTCATTTTATTTTCTTATGAAATGATAAAGCTACCCATTTCATTATGTATGAGGTAAAAAAAATTTATTGGAGTTAAAATTAACGTAGATATATGACAGAACCTAACCAACCCTACCTAACCTAACCTAACCTATCTCTATCGGTTAGGTTAGGTTAGGTAGCAGAAAAAGTTAGGTTAGGTTAGGTTAGGTAGGTTAGGTAGTCGAAAAAAACATTAATTCATGAAAACTTGGCTTATTAGGCAAATTGGGCCATGCATAGTTGACTGAGAAGTGCGTTCTGGCTATTAGGTACGACATATATATATATATATATATATATATATATATATATATATATATATATATATATATATATATATATATATATATATATATAAATATACGCGCACACACACACACACACACACACACACACACACACACACACACACACACACACACACACACACACACACACACACACACACAGTAATTGTATATCAGTAAGTGACTCCTTTAAGGCATTCCAACATTTGAGCCTACCAAATGATTTTTTAAAATACAGTACTGTATAACCACATCTATTTAAAGCTGTGCTCTTGAGAAAATGTCCATAAAGACTATATGGGATGTCAATTTAATTTGTCCTTTACTAATAATATGTATACTATATATTAGCTCATTAAATAGTAGAATGAGGTGGGAGTGTCCTATATTGGTCCTATATAATCTGTAGCTTGATATAATATCACTGAGTGAGGTGTGAGTGTCCTTTGTTGGCCCTGTATATATATAATCTGTAGCTTGATATAGTATCATTAAGTATTATGTGAGGTGTGAGTGTCCTATATTGGCCCTATATAATCTGTAGCTTGATACAGTATCATAGAGTGAAGTGTGAATGTCTTACCAAACATTTTTTATTTATTTATAGGGTGATTGCAAGATTTAAACAAATAAACAAAATTAAATTTAATTAAACGGAATCTTAAAAGACCTCTGAATGCATGAATATCACTTCATTACTAATTCTTAGGTCTATAACTACATGATTCTCAAATTCTAAACGTACTGTGTGCTGCTCCACATCATGAAATATTATTGCAAGTTTTTCATCACATTTCAATAAACAAGAAAGTTCAAAGACTTTTACCTGTATAGGTATAAGACAATTATTGTGAATCACACTGTTTTTACAATTATTATTGGATAATTCTCAATTTGATTAATACTATAAACTAATTAAATATTCTATATGTATTTGTAAATGGATATGCAATTGAACCTGGTTCACACTGCTAAAACATTAATCCAGCAAAATTCATAGATAGCTTCTTTCGAATAAGTGTGTCTGTCTGAAGAATTGCCTAATACTAATTACCTAATTGTTGTTACAAGAAGAGAGCTCTGCTCATGGGGTCTAGACTTCTTTATAAATTTTATAAATTTTGCTTTATGAACAATGAAACCTAAACAACTCATTAACTGCAGACGATGAGTCATAATAACGTGGCTGAAGTTATGATGACCAAACCACACATCAGAAGATGGGGAAACGACGACATTTCAGTCTGTAATGAGCAAAAACATCATTACACACGACTTGATAATGGTGCAGGATGGACCAAAACGTTGTCTTTTCTCCATCTTCTGATGTGTGGTTTGGTCATTAACTTAGCTGTACCAATTGTAGATGTACGAGTTGTACATCACAATTTGCATGTCAAATTTGTTTTCATAAAACCAATGGAAAAAATTGCACAGGGAGATTTGAGCCTAAGAGTTAATCACAGATAGCAATTGGAGCCATGTAAAGGTTAAGGGAGACTTTTATTTTTAAGCCCAAATAAGACAAATATTGGACTAACCTGGAAGTTTCAAAGTCAGTAGTGAGAGTCTCCACATTGTATCCTGGCGGTATCCACACTTCAAGACTCACCATTGCCTTCGGAATCTTTACCTCTATGCTGCTTTTACTGCAAGATATAATGCTTCTTACTTTAACAATTAAGTTAATAACATTAACTCTCTAACATATTAGCTTTAGGAATGCTGACAAGTACAGTACAGTAATATAATATACTTGATATCATGTAAATTCAAATTAACTACTAGGTAATACTGTTTCACTTTCAGTACAGTTAAGGCTGATGACTAGGAATTCTAAAATTCATAGTTTGATATGGTAAACTACACTTATATGATACTATATATATATATATATATATATATATATATATATATATATATATATATATATATATATATATATATATATATATATATATATACACACACACACACACACACACACACACACAGTTGATAAACTCGATTTAAGGAGAGGCACACAAAATTTTTTTAATGAGTGTAATTGGACATTGTTGCTACACACTATATGAGGAACACACACATTCATACCACACACACACACAGGGCCAGAAAACAGGATTGGTTCGACAGAAATTGTGAGAGGGCAAGAGACCAAAAGACACAAAAATGGAATCAGTATAGGAAGAGGCCAAACCCCCAAACATACCAGCGATACAAAGATGCGAGAAACAACTATACAGCAGTAAGGAGAGAGGCAGAAAGAAATTTTGAAAAAGGGATAGCAGATAAATGTAAACAGAACCGGGCCTATTCTACAAATTCATAAACAACAAATTGCAGATAAAGGATAATATCCAGAGGTTGAAAATGGGAAACAGATTCACGGAAAATGAAAAGGAAATGTGTGAAACATTAAATGAAAAGTTCCAAAGTGTGTTTGTACAAAATGAAATCTTCAGAGAACCAGACACAATAAGAATTCCAGAGAACAACATAGAGCACATAGAGGTGTCTAGAGATGAAGTGGAAAATATGCTAAAGGAGCTCGGGAAGAACAAAGCAGCTGGCCCAGATGGCGTTTCACCATGGGTTCTGAGAGAATGTGCATCTGAACTCAGCATTCCACTTCACCTGATCTTTCAGGCATCCCTGTGTACAGGAATCGTAGCAGACGTGTGGAAACAGGCTAACATAGTTCCAATCTACAAAAGTGGCAGCAGGGAAGACCCCCTCAATTATAGACCTGTATCATTGACAAGTGTAATAGTGAAAGTATTGGAAAAGCTAATCAAAACTAAATGGGTAGAACACCTGGAGAGAAATGATATAATATCAGACAGACAGTATGGTTTTCGATCTGGAAGATCCTGTGTATCGAATTTACTCAGTTTCTATGATCGAGCCACAGAGATATTACAGGAAAGAGATGGTTGGGTTGACTGCATCTATCTGGACCTAAAAAAGGCTTTCGACAGAGTTCCACATAAGAGGTTGTTCTGGAAACTGGAAAATATTGGAGGGGTGACAGGTAAGCTTCTATCATGGATGAAAAATTTTCTGACTGATAGAAAAATGAGGGCAGTAATCAGAGGCAATGTATCAGAATGGAGAAATGTCACAAGTGGAGTACCACAGGGTTCAGTTCTTGCACCAGTGATGTTTATTGTGTACATAAATGATCTACCAGTTGGTATACAGAATTATATGAACATGTTTGCTGATGATGCTAAGATAATAGGAAGGATAAGAAATTTAGATGATTGTCATGCCCTTCAAGAAGACCTGGACAAAATAAGTATATGGAGCACCACTTGGCAAATGGAATTTAATGTTAATAAATGTCATGTTATGGAATGTGGAATAGGAGAACATAGACCCCACACAACCTATATATTATGTGAGAAATCTTTAAAGAATTCTGATAAAGAAAGAGATCTAGGAGTGGTTCTAGATAGAAAACTATCACCTGAGGACCACATAAAGAATATTGTGCAAGGAGCCTATGCAATGCTTTCTAACTTCAGAATTGCATTTAAATACATGGATGGCGATATACTAAAGAAATTGTTCATGACTTTTGTTAGGCCAAAGCTAGAATATGCAGCTGTTGTGTGGTGCCCATATCTTAAGAAGCACATCAACAAACTGGAAAAGGTGCAAAGACATGCTACTAAGTGGCTCCCAGAACTGAAGGGCAAGAGCTACGAGGAGAGGTTAGAAGCATTAAATATGCCAAAACTAGAAGACAGAAGAAAAAGAGGTGATATGATCACTACGTACAAAATAGTAACAGGAATTGATAAAATCGACAGGGAAGACTTCCTGAGACCTGGAATTTCAAGAACAAGAGGTCATAGATTTAAACTAGCTAAACACAGATGCCGAAGAAATATAAGAAAATTCACCTTCGCAAATAGAGTGGTAGACGGTTGGAACAAGTTAAGTGAGAAGGTGGTGGAGGCCAAGACCGTCAGTAGTTTCAAAGCGTTATATGACAAAGAGTGCTGGGAAGACGGGACACCACGAGCGTAGCTCTCATCCTGTAACTACACTTAGGTAATTACACTTAGGTAATTACACACACACACACTCACACATCGTAGCTCTCATCCTGTAACTAGGATGAGAGCTACGCTGTGACAGACAGGTGACAGGCAAGAGGCACTGAACTACAGGCCAGTATCCTTAACTTGTATACCATACAAGGTGATAGAGAAGATCATGAGAAAAAGCCTAGTAACACATCTGGAGAGAAGGAACTTCATGACAACCCATCAACATGGGTTCAGGGAAGGTAAATCTTGCCTTACAGGCTTACTAGAATTCTACGATCAGGTGACAAAGATTAAACAAGAAAGAGAAAGATGGGAGGTTTGCATATTTTTGGACTGTCGGAAAGCCTTTGACACAGTACCCAATAATAAGCTGATGCCTAAGCTGGAGAAACAGGCAGGAGTAACTGGTAGGGCACTCCAGTGGATAAGGGAGTACCTAAGCAATAGAACGCAGAGAGTTACAGTGAGGGGGGTAAGACCTAAGATTGGTGTGAAGTCATCAGTGGAGTCTCACAGGGCTCTGTACTCAGACCTATCCAGTTTCTGATATATGTAAATGATCTCCCAGAAGGTATAGACTCATTCCTCTCAATGTTTGCTGACGACGCCAAAATTATGAGAAGGATTAAGACAGAGGAGGACAGCTTGAGGCTTCAAGAAGACCTGGACAAGCTGCAGGAATGGTCGAACAAACGGTTGTTAGAGTTTAACCCAAGCAAATGCAATGTAATGAAGATAAGTGTAGGGAGCAGGAGACCAAATACAAGGTATCATTTGGGAGATGAAATACTTCATGAGTCAAAGAGAAAGACCTGTGAGTTGATATCATGCCAGACCTGTCCCCCTGAAGCTCATATCAAGAGGATAACATCAGGGGCATATGCCAGGTTGGCTAACATAAGAACGGCCTTTAGAAACTTGTATACCACGTATGTCAGACCAATCCTGGAGGATGCGGCTCCAACACGGAGTCCATATTTAGTCAAGCATAAGACTAAACTGGAAAAGGTTCAAAGGTTTGCCACCAGACTAATACTCAAACTGAGGGGCATGAGTTACGAGTTGAGACTACGGGAATTAAACCTCATGTCACTGGGAGACAGAAGAGTTAGAGGGGACATGATCAACATAGGCACATACAAGATTCTCAGAGGAATTGATAGGGTAGATAAAGAGAGACTATTTAACACAAGGGGCACATGCACTAGGGGACACAGGTGGAAACTGAGTGCCCAAATGAGCCATAGAGATGTTGGAAAGAATTTTTTCTGTGTCAGAGTGGTAGACAAATGGAATGCATTAGGAAGTGATGTGGTGGAGGCTGACTCCGTACACAGATTTAAGTGTAGATATGATAGAGCCCACTAGGCTCAGGAACCTGTACATTAGTTGATTGACAGTTGAGAGGCAGGACCAAAGAGCCAGAGCTCAACCCCCACAAGCACAATTAGGTAAGTACACACACACACACACACACACACACACACACACACACACACACACACACACACACACACACACACACACACACACACACACACACACACACACACAAGGCAAGAGGAACTAAAATTTCCAACCACCTTCTAGTATTAATAATGTACATCAACATTACCACATTCTCAATGCACATGGTATTCTTTGAGAATGTAATAAGTACATCAAGTAAGCTCTCAGCTTTTAATTCTGTTAATTGTAGTTACCTCTTAAATATATATTTGCTGCAATCAATGGCACTACTTGGTTAGAATATCTTGCAAAATAATAAAACACTATAGCAACATGCCAGCTATATTGTAGTAACGTAATGTTTGTACATTGAAGTAGGAGTCTAAAATCTATTACAAGAACTCTACACAGATTCACTGTAATAAATTAGCAATAAATTCATACAAAACTGAAAAGAACAATAATACTGAATAATGCATTACATTTTGTTAGCTTTTAAGATTTGCTAAAAATGTTGTGTGTAATAAGGGGGCATTGTTAAATGTTCATAACATTTTGCTATGATCTTTTTGGAGGCCTTTGTATTCCATCAAAGATGCTGCAAAATCTCATGTATTATATGTTTATGTACATAAAGTTGACTATTTGACTGTATAAATATATACTGTATATACATATATATATATATATATATATATATATATATATATATATATATATATATATATATATATATATATATATATATATATATATATATATATATATATATATATATATATATATATATATATATATATATATATATATATATATATATATATATATATACACGCACTAAATAAGTGAGAGTGTATTTTCAACCCATCTTAAGAAGCTACTACGGATGGTAGGTAAGTAGGCATTATATACGAAAAAGGTACAATAAATGTCCAGATGTCCAGCTAGCAAAGGAGTCCAGCCAAGTTCTTCATTCTCACATTCGAATCGATCTAATTTGTGAAGTATTAAAAGATCAGTGAAAATAATCCTGGACTTACCAGTATATTCATATCGAAATCTGACTAAATCTGCACTTTGCGCTTATAAAAATGACAGATGAATATACAATACAGTAATATGATTCAAAGTACTGTACTGGATTATTCTAATTTAATATATTAATAATTTGAATGGTTAGGATCTGATATATATCTGACCTGATTTAAATCTGATGATTACATCTAGAACGGCAGAATTTTTTCAGCTCTGCATAACTTTACATGATTCTTAAAATATTTGAAAGCCATTTATTATATACAGTATAAGTTACCGCTTTACAAACAAGAAAAAATATCTAAAATTAAAACAAATTTAAAAACTATTTCAATAATTTGCTGTATTTTGTATATGAAATTTCAAATTTGATAAATTTCTGATGTTGACATAACTCCACAAATTTGGATTAAGAGTTACAACTTAATTTTGTTTAGTTTCATTGTACAGTATAATTCAGGAAAAGGCTAAAATAGATATAGGTCAATGAAGCAATAAACAAATAATGGTCTCAAACTCAAAATGTTTAATAAATATTTTTGGGAACAATGATACCATATGCTTCAAAAAGATAAACTTTGCAATTTTATCTGGTAATAATAGCCACAGGTGTCAAATCTTATTAATTATCGGGATTTATAAGTCAAATCCAATTTCTTTAAACTTCTCTAGAGAAAAAAGTTCTATGACTTAAGCCGGATTCACACTGGATGACCCCCCCCCCCACCATTAAAAAAAATACCATGTGACGTAAGCTGTCTTCTAAGGGTTAAGGAATTAGTACGATCAAACCTGGGGCCAGATTCACGAAGCAGTTACGCAAGTACTTACGAACGTGTACATCTTTCCGCAATCTTTGATGGCTTTGGTTACATTTATTAAACAATTTACAAGCATGAAAACTTGCCAATCAACTGTTGTTATTGTTATAAACAGCCTCCTGGTGCTTCGAAGCTCATCAACTGTTTAATAATTGTAAACAAAGCCGCCAAAGATTGAGAAAAGATGGAGAGGTTCGTAAGTGCTTGCGTAACTGGTTCGCGAATCTGGCCCCTGGACCTTGAACCACTATTGTATCTCACTGCTAGTACCAGCTACTTTCATATAAAACTGTCCTTTTTACCCCCATGATAAATAGTAGCTTCTCAAAATCGGTTCCAAAGTTGCCAGAGATAGGGTAAGTATGTGAGTGTGTGCTCGCATGCACGAGCACTGTTGAATGCATTTAAAAATAATAAATAAGGAAACATAAATCTTCCAAGCACTTTATGACAGTTGAACCAATTTCTCATAATACACTGTACAGTAAATCTTCCATACTGAATTTGATATCATCAACATCAAATAAAGTAGATACATTAAGTAACGTAGAGTTTAATTAGTTTAATTAATCCAACTAGTACAAATCCAATAGTCCATGAAAACAGTCAACTGTGCCCATTTGCACCCACGATATAAGGCTCACACAATGGCAGTTTACCGAGGCCTCCTCCACACCCAGACTTACTTAGCAAACACCACCATTGTCCCATTGATGGCGGAGATCTCGAAGATGAACGGTGAGGAGCCCCAGTCCACCACAATCTGCCGCTCGCTGCACACAGTAAGTGGAATCCTCCAGTGAGCTCTCATACCTATTGTCTGCTTTGTAACTTATTAACTTCCACTAAATATGCTCAACCTTGGCAACCTTTTTTTTTTAATCACCAAAGGCCATCACACTTCCCCAAGATGCACTGAGATATTAATGCACATAATACCAAAAGGGCTTTTCATTTCTCCATGCGCATACTTTGCGGCCCTCTTTCGTAGACTAAGCATGCCCGTCTTCGCTGTGCAGTAAACGCAATGGGAATCCATCCTCACTAAAACAACTGATGCTCGTTCTGCAAGTATCTCTTCTAGTAAACACTAATTTCACGAGCAAGTATATCAGCTACCAATTAGCCGTTCTTTGTATTTTAGTCCCCAGGTTCTTGGGTATTCATATTCATTGTAGCCCCCGGGTGCTAGGATACACTACCACAAACCCTATCATTGTAGCCCCCGAGTGCTAGGATACACTACCACAAACCCTATCATTGTAGCCCCCGGGTGCTAGGATACACTACCACAAACCCTATCAATGTAGCCCCCGGGTGCTAGGATACACTACCACAAACCCTATCATTGTAGCCCCCGGGTGCTAGGATACACTACCACAAACCCTATCATTGTATCCCCCAGGTGCTAGGGTTTACTACCACAAACCCTATCATTGTAGCCCCCGGATGCTGGGGTACACTACTACATGATATAATGATAGCCCCCAGATGCTGGGTTATACTTCCATCAACCACACCATTGTAGCCCCCAGATGATAGTTTACCCAACCTCCAACATCATAGCAGCCCTCAGTTTACCTTTCGAAGATTCCGAGGATCAACGTTCCCAGATGCTCGGAAACTCAACGTCCACCCACAGCAGTGTAGCCCTCAGGTGCTAGGATATACAACGTCCACACACAACAGTGTAGCCCTCAGATGCTAGGATATACAACGTCCACACACAGCAGTGTAGCCCTCAGATGCTACGATATACAACGTCCACACACAGCAGTGTAGCCCTCAGATGCTACGATATACAACGTCCACACACAGCAGTGTAGCCCTCAGATGCTAGGATATACAACGTCCACACACAGCAGTGTAGCCCTCAGATGCTAGGATATACAACGTCCACACACAGCAGTGTAGCCCTCAGATGCTAGGATATACAACGTCCACACACAGCAGTGTAGCCCTCAGATGCTACGATATACAACGTCCACACACAGCAGTGTAGCCCTCAGATGCTAGGATATACAACGTCCACACACAGCAGTGTAGCCCTCAGATGCTAGGATATACAGTACAACGTCCACACACAAAAGTGTAGCCCTCAGATGCTAGGATATACAACGTCCACCCACAGCAGTGTAGCCCTCAGATGCTAGGATATACAACGTCCACACACAACAGTGTAGCCCTCAGATGCTAGGATATACAACGTCCACCCACAGCAGTGTAGCCCTCAGATGCTAGGATATACAACGTCCACACACAGCAGTGTAGCCCTCAGATGCTAGGATATACAACGTCCACACACAGCAGTGTAGCCCTCAGATGCTAGGATATACAACGTCCACACACAGCAGTGTAGCCCTCAGATGCTAGGATATACAACGTCCACACACAGCAGTGTAGCCCTCAGATGCTAGGATATACAACGTCCACACACAGCAGTGTAGCCCTCAGATGCTAGGATATACAACGTCCACACACAACAGTGTAGCCCTCAGATGCTAGGATATACAACGTCCACCAACAGCAGTGTAGCCCTCAGATGCTAGGATATACAACGTCCACACACAGCAGTGTAGCCCTCAGATGCTAGGATATACAACGTCCACACACAGCAGTGTAGCCCTCAGATGCTAGGATATACAACATTAATCATTCAAGCTGTTGCATACAAGGTCAGTATTTTGACCAAATATTCTGTATTCCATTTTGTAAATGCAGTACAGTTCTATTTCTTGTAATATCCATGAGATTTAAAACATTCATTCATACATTCCGTGCAAAATACAAACAACAGAGACCAATTAAAGTATCTGTGTGTCCCAGTTAAGTACCGCATTAACAACAGATACTGAAGTAGAACAATGGGATCGAACCCGCAATCCTGACCTCACCAGGAACACTCACTACCAACTGCACCAGTAGTTAATTTAGTGAGCCTGAGATTAAGAGAGACACGCGAGTTCCATTCTATCGAGTACGGTCTATATATCTATTTATATAATGATCACGTTCTTTGTGATTTCATTCCGCATAGATACATATATTTCATCAGAGTTAATTGTCTCAAAACAAATGCATGCTAAAGTTGTGTTTAGTTTGGTCATGCATTGCGTTATACAGTCTAGGGTGCAGAAGTAATGATTATTCAACATAACATTAAATGATTGCATTCACTATATTACATTCAACATGAAATGGATTAGCTTATAGATTTTTGTCAAGCTTGCACACACAATTCTCGTCAAACTACATTTGATGTTACTAATCCTATCTGAATAATGAACTTTCATTAAACTAGAATATAATATCCTGCTAAAGCCTCTTATTTTGTTAAGAATATCTCTCATACGCACGATCTGTAATTTGTTTTTATAGAACCACAGCATAAATCACAATTGTAACACATATTTCCTCGGGTTAGAAAATACAGCTGTGACCCTTCTCAAACTATACCTTGTGTGTACCACGCGCCTCAAGCCCCACTGCTTTCAAACTCTTCACCTGCTGGACTCATCAGTTACCCATCACCACCTGCTGGACTCATCAGTCACCCAGCACCACCTGCTGGACTCGTCAGTCACCCATCACCACCTGCTGGACTCATCAGTCACCCATCACCACCTGCTGGACTCATCAGCCACGCCCCCAGACCAATGTATGGGACCACGGGTTACAGATTCAGAGCAACACATGGGAGCACAAGACGCCGCCAAGACGGGGAATACACTCAGCATGCAGACGAACCCGTGATGGACCGGTTTGACACCAAGCCAGGACTGCCTGCCAGCTTTTTATACGGTGGCTTCATTCAGGTAAGCCCACTGGGGCTACACCTAACACACGGACTTAATTCAGGAAACCCCATTCAGGGAAAACCCATTAGTTACTTCATTCAGGAAATCCAACTTGACACTAGAGCTAATTAATTTACTGCTACTGTACTTCATTCAAGAAACCCCCAAAGAAAGTACACCAAATACAGTAATCTCGTTCAGAAAAGTCTGCTGGAACTATACCTGATACGGCGACTTCACTCGGGAATTCGAACTGCATGACAACTCTACGTTTTGGGTGAGAGGTTTTGAGAGAGTGCAGGAAGAAAGGTTTTTGAGGAATTTGGGAGAAGGAATTGCCAGAAAGGGAACAGTCTTGGTGGAGTGGAGGTGGAAAAGGGAGGGTGGGGGGGGAGGGGCTCCTTACTGCCAAAACATTCTCAACACCACCTGAGTGCTCTTGGAGCCAACATCTATTGTTAGTAAGTCATGACAGAGGCTACGCCAGGGATACGAAGGACGGAGGGAGTGAAGGGGTGACTATGCCTCTTGCTGTAATCATCTCTCTCTAAGCCCTGTAACGGGTTTTCTTTTCTGTATAAGCTACATCCCTCACACACACTAACTTATTGTATTTAATATTTTATTAACTGCTAATACATTCGGGTAACTTGGTGGTTCGTGCAACAAACCAAGAAAGCAGCATTTGATAATTCACGAGAGAATATATTTTCTACAAGCATGGAAGGCTGCCATGCACAGTCTGGTCATGCAACGCTATTATTCACATGTCAGTACACACAAAAATATATATATATATATATATATATATATATATATATATATATATATATATATATATATATATATATATATATATATATATATATATATATATATATATATATATATATATATATATATATATATATATATATATATATAAAGTGTTACAATGCGAGAAATACACTAGCAACATTTGTATAATGTAAATTAAAGGTTAATAGCAAACAAACACAAAATTATCTACAGGACAAATGAATATATAGGCATATGACAAAACAATAAGCTTGATCTTGCATAAATATATTTAGTGAACAGCCTAAACCTCACAAAGTTATAATGTACACACACACTTGTCTCAGTTATAATGTACACACACACACTTGTCTCAGTTATAATGTGCACACACACACACTTGTCTCAGTTATAATGTGCACACACACACACTTGTCTCAGTTATAATGTACACACACACACTTGTCTCAGTTATAATGTACACACACACACTTGTCTCAGTTATAATGTGCACACACACACACTTGTCTCAGTTATAATGTACACACACACACTTGTCTCAGTTATAATGTGCACACACACACACTTGTCTCAGTTATAATGTGCACACACACACACTTGTCTCAGTTATAATGTACACACACACACTTGTCTCAGTTATAATGTGCACACACACACTTGTCTCAGTTATAATGTACACACACACACTTGTCTCAGTTATAATGTGCACACACACACTTGTCTCAGTTATAATGTACACACACACACTTGTCTCAGTTATAATGTGCACACACACACTTGTCTCACACACACACACTTGTCTCAGTTATAATGTGCACACACACACACACTTGTCTCAGTTATAATGTACACACACACACTTGTCTCAGTTATAATGTGCACACACACACTTGTCTAAGTTATGATGTACACACTTGTCTCAGTTATAATGTGTACACACTTGTCTCAGTTATAATGTGCACACACATTTATCTCAGCTATGACGTGCACACACACACACACACACACTTGCCTCAGTTGGCATGATGCTGACACGCTGGTCTCACTGAAAGCTTATATTCCAATTCTTTCATTCAACATGTTGATCCCATTGGCGCCATTTCTAAATACCAACGACCGTGAGGTAACTGGATATGTTACCCAGGGTAATCAAGCGCCTGAGGGAACAAGCAGCCTTGGCCACCACACAATAGAAGGCGTCGTCCCTCTCTCAGTATCTTATTGGCACGTCTCTCAAACGGTGTTCTGTCAAGTGACGGTTTATGCATAGTAGCAAACAGATAAGCTCTGTGTCCATTGTCTGTACTTTTGAAGTAGCCTACAGAAAACCAATTGTACAAAATATGAAGTAGAAAAAGAGATCAGATTTATGTTTGTTTTCTGTACGTTTGAAGTAGCCTACTGAACAAATTTATATTTATCTAAGTTTGGAGTTCGTACCTAGCCTATTGTGCGTCATTCTGGCTCCCCCGAGGATGCTTCTCGTTGTTGTTTTAGATTCAGCTACTCAGAACATGTCCCCTGTAGCACAGGTTATAGTGAGCCCTCACCGAGGATGGTGTCTACCCAACCTTAAATACCAGTGTCTGTGTCGCTCCACACACGTGACGTTGTGCATTGTGCCAACACAACTGACCTGGCCACCCATGAATACTTTTAATTCCTCAAAAAAGAGATGTTTACGCATTTTAAACAATGCGAGCTTTAAACAATACGAGTGGCGAGGACGAGAAGCCAAACAATGACACGGCTTCAACACGCACTTGGCCATAGCTAAACAAACTTAAGGCGTAACAAACACTTGCCCACAACATGTTCACTTCACTATAACAAACACTAATCCACTTGACCGCTACAAACACATAGGCTATCATCAAACGCACATTGCCCTAACAAACACACGGAGGTCAGAGTAGTTAACGGATGGAATGCAACAGTAATATGGTGGAGGCTGACTCCATACACAGTTTCAAATGTAGATATGATAGAGCCCAGTAGGCTCAGGAATCTGTACATCAGTTGATTGCCAGTTGAGAGGCGGGACCAAAGAGCCAGAGCTCAACCCCCGCAAGCACAACTAGGTGAGTACATACGGACTGGCGAACATTGGCCGGGCTCGGGGGAGTAGAAGAACTCGCAGAACACTCCCAAGCCCTGCTTCTTCGTGTATATTCACTGAGGTCACTTTAGCCCTGGGCGCTCTCCAGGATTAATGTATTCTTGCTGGTTGGCCAGTGAGCAATTATGGCGGCCTTAAATATCGGCCGATAGACCTTCAGCCTCACACCAAGCCAAACACTAACCCAGCAAACACGCCATTTTACATTCGCGCAGTTGCAAGAAGCGGGAATGTTGCCTCAACAATCACCACAACACACTGGTCACAACAACACACTGGTCACAACAACACACAACACAACAACACACTGGTCACAACAACACACTGGTCACAACAAACACAACAACACACTGGTCACAACAACACACTGGTCACAACAATCACCACAACAACACACTGGTCACAACAATCACCACAACACACACAACAACACACTGGTCACAACAATCACCACAACACACTGGTCACAACAATCACCACAACACACTGGTCACAACAATCACCACAACAACACACTGGTCACAACAATCACCACAACAACACACTGGTCACAACAATCACCACAACACACTGGTCACAACAATCACCACAACACACTGGTCACAACAATCACCACAACACACTGGTCACAACAATCACCACAACAACACACTGGTCACAACAATCACCACAACAACACACTGGTCACAACAATCACCACAACAACACACTGGTCACAACAATCACCACAACACACTGGTCACAACAATCACCACAACACACTGGTCACAACAACACACTGGTCACAACAACACACTGGTCACAACAAACACAACAATACACTGGTCACAACCAACAGATCACAACACAGCGCCACAACTCCTGCTCTCACAACTCACGTGTTTTCGTCCTCCCTCTTCTCTGGCCTCATGGCGTTGATGACGCTGCCGGGGTCGAAGGTGTCGGCGACGGTGGTGATGGTGAGGTTGACGTATCCCAGCCACTCCCGCAGGAAGATGGCCACCATGCGCGTCATCAGCTGCTGGGGCACCCGGCTCGACGTCAGCATCGTCAGCGGCTGCTCCTTCTCGTTCACGTACAGTCTCTGGGGCTTGATCTCTGTTGGCCGGAGGTGAGGGTGTTAGCATGGGGGGTCTTAGTGACTCTGGGAGGGGACGCGTCCTCTCTCTCTCAACTTATCGGTCGGATTTTGGTTTTTGTTTGTTATCCTAACACTTATTCCTGGCAGCGTCTGGGATCCTCTCCGACGTACGTTCGAACCCTCGTCACGGCTTGTTCATGTATTCCTATTGTCTATGCATCGGACTCGATACGTTAGGTGGGTTGCTTGGATTCCTTTGTTTTTGGTTAGGTCAAGGTAGGTTAAAATGTTTGATTATTGTTTACACTGGCAGGTCGAGAGAAGTGGCTTGGGAGAGACGGGTTGGGAAAGGTGTTGGTGGATGTGTGTGTGGGTTAGTGCAGGTGGAGTTAAGCCAGAGTGGGAACCGTTGTAAGTGGAGTGCCCCAGAGACTTTGGAATAATAGCTGAACCTATAGCTAGTTCTTGATGTACATTGTGTATTATCTCATATAGAATAATAGGGTAGCAGCACATTCCTGTGTATACCTAGTTTTGCTAATAAAAGAAAGAGACTGTCCTGGGACCTGTGTTGTTTATCATATATATATATATATATATATATATATATATATATATATATATATATATATATATATATATATATATATATATATATATATATATATATAATCATTGGACAACACCCACCAGTGGGACTCGAACCCAGAAAGCACAACTACCTTCCAGTAGCTGCCATAACTAGTACGCTTTAACCCACTACACCATCAGAAGTTAAAGCGTACTAGTTATGGCAGCTACTGGAAGGTAGTTGTGCTTTCTGGGTTCGAGTCCCACTGGTGGGTGTTGTCCAAAGATTGTTAATCTTCACTTGTGGTTTATGCAAGTATAGGCTTATATATATATATATATATATATATATATATATATATATATATATATATATATATATATATATATATATATATATATATATAACTGATTTAGACACAATTTTACAACAACATTTGCAAATTTGCAAACGACATAAACATGGGGCGGTATATAAATTCATAACACAAAATAGCTAAAAAAAACTATTTAGATAGGCTTTCAAAGTGACAATGACGAGCGATCTCATTGTCAAATGGGCTAAAGACTATCAGGTGCAGTTTAATGCTGACAAATGTTGGGTTGAGCTTAGGTAAGGGTAATAAAGTTGCCAGATACCAGCTAGATAATGATGAAATTACGAAATTTAAATTAAACCATCTAGAAGTCACGATTACTAGGGAACTTAATAACAAAATGCATATATAACAACAAAATCAATGCATATATGTACGAAATAAAGCAAATAGGATACAGAACTGGGATTTATCCCTAGAAGCGGTTGCATCAAGACATGAGATGTTAGTCTTGGGCGTTATCTTCCATTTCCTAGTCCAATTTAGGTCCCCATTAGATTATACAGTTCAGGTCACCGGACCACAGAATGGACCTTAATTTACTTAAATGTGTAGAGAGAAGGATGTTATCGTGAGATGATTTCGGGGCTTAGCGTCCCCGCAGCCCGGTCCTCGACCAGGCCTCCTTTTGTTACACACGCCCAGGAAGCAGCCCGTAGCAGCTGTCTAACTCCCAGGTACCTATTTACTGCTAGGTGAAAAGGTGCATTAGGGTGAAACAAACTCTGCCCATTTGTTTTTGCCTCCACTTTGGATTGAACCCGGAACCTCAGGACTACGAATCCCGAGCGCTGTCCACTCAGCTGTCATGCCCCTTTTGGGTCCTCTAAACCTTTTCTAACTTCGTTTTGTGTTTGTCTAGATGTGGACTCCAGGTTGGAGCGCCATACTCTAATATTGGTTGACACATGAGGTATACAAGGCTCTGAATGATTCCTTACACAAGTTTCTGAAGGCAGTTCTTATGTTCGCCAGCCATGCATACGCCGCTGATGTTATCCTTTTGATGTGGGTTTCAGGGGACAGGTTTGGCGGGATACCAACCACCAAACATTTCTCTCTCCCTGATTCCTGAAGTATTTCATCTCCCAAATAGAGAAGGGGAAGTGGGGGTAGGGAAGAATGTGTAGGTATTTGGTGTGGGGGGTGGGGGGGGGGAGGGGCTTCTACTGGGTGGACGGGGGGGGGGGTTGCACTTCTCTCTCTGGGGGCTGCTGAACCGCTTGTCGAGGGGGTTGTGTGCGCGCGCGCGTGCACACATTCGTGTTTCTGCAGCAGCATTCCGCATATACATTAATTATGCACACATGCATTTGGTAGGTTACTCACCACGCCACGCATGTGTTCACTTATATAACCGACGCTCACTAACCTTCAAATAATTTGCACGTACAATTGTTGTTGATCGCTTACACCCCCACTCCGCCACACTCCGCCACACTCCGCCACACCAAGACGCTCAAACAATCCTGATATAACTCTTTACTACCTGTCCAACAAGCAACAATCACTTGCATCTGACAATCGGTAAAAATGACCTCTTAGCAAACAAGGATTATTTTGGCGGTAGTAGAGTCCTCTCGCCCGATGTTGACGAGATCTCTCTTCGTATCTTGAGTTGATTTCGGGGCTTTAGTGTCCCCGTGGCCCGGTCCTCGACCAGGCCTCCACCCCCAGGAAGCAGCCTGTGACAGCTGACTAACACCCAGGTACCTATTTACTGCTAGGTAACAGGGGCATAGCGTGAAAGAAACTCTGCCCATTGTTTCTTGCCGGCGCCCGGGATCGAACCATCGCGCAATCCGTTAAAATGCGACGTATTAGAATAAATTAAAACACCGTAATATTGACGTTATATATGCATCGACCTCGATAGGTTAGGTAGATTACTTAGATTTGTGTCTGGATGAAACAGTTGCATTTTGTTACGGAGTGGCAAATCGAGGAAGCGGGGTTGATATGGACCTCAGTGTGGCAGACATATAGATAACATCACACTGCTGGCTGGTGGAGAGGTCGGCTGTTATGTCCTCACAGTGACACCCGGAGAATAATACTGATGTGCACGTCTCACGACCAGTGGCCCTCAGGCCGGTTACCCCATGTGTCATCCTCTCTGTGTGGCCCTCAGGCCGGTTACCTCATGTGTCATCCTCTCTATGTGGCCCTGAGGCCGGATACCCCATGTAGCATCCTCTCTGTGTGGCCCTCAGGCCGGTTACCCCATGTGTCATCCTCTCTATGTGGCCCTCAGGCCGGTTACCTCATGTGTCATCCTCTCTATGTGGCCCTCAGGCCGGTTACCCCATGTGTCATCCTCTCTATGTGGCCCTGAGGCCGGATACCTCATGTGTCATCCTCTCTATGTGGCCCTCAGGCCGGTTACCCCATGTGTCATCCTCTCTATGTGGCCCTCAGGCCGGTTACCCCATGTGTCATCCTCTCTGTGTGGCCCTCAGGCCGGTTACCTCATGTGTCATCCTCTCTATGTGGCCCTCAGGCCGGTTACCCCATGTGTCATCCTCTCTACGTGACCCTGAAGCCGGTTACCTCATGTGCCATCCTCTCTATGTGGCCCTGAGGCCGGTTACACATGTGTCATCGTGAGAGTTTGGCCCACCAGGCTGTTACTTCGAGCGTACTATTCCTGCAGTATGTTTTATATATATTTAATCCTTCATGTCTGCTTCCTGCAGACATGAAGGAAAAGCAAGCTGCAATTTGATTTTAACATAAGCACTTCTATACCTGCTTAATGGGGTTCTGGGAGTTCTTCTACTCCCCAAGCCCGGCCCGAGGCCAGGCTCGACTTGTGGGAGTTTGGTCCACCAGGCTGTTGCTTGGAGCGGCCCGCAGGCCCACATACCCACCACAGCCCGGTTGGTCCGGCACTTCGTGAAGAAAACTATCTACTTTTCTCTTGAAGATGTCCACGGTTGTTCCGGCAATATTTCTTATGCTCGCTGGGAGGACGTTGAACAACCGCGGACCTCTGATGTTTATACAGTGTTCTCTGATTGTGCCTATGGCACCTCTGCTCTTCACTGGTTCTATTCTGCATTTTCTTCCATATCGTTCACTCCAGTACGTTGTTATTTTAATGTGTAGATTTGGTTCCTGGTCCTCCAGTATTTTCCATGTGTATATTATTTGGTATTTCTCTCGTCTCCTTTCTAGTCAGTACATTTGGAGAGCTTTGAGACGATCCCAATAATTTATGTGTTTTACCGTGTCTATGTATTCGGTGTATATTCTCTGTATTCCCTCTATTTCAGCAATCTCTCCTGCTCTGAAGGGGGAAGTGAGTACTGAGCAGTACTCAAGACGGGACAACACAAGTGACTTGAAGAGTACAACCATTGTGATGGGATCCCTGGATTTGAAAGTTCTCGTAATCCATCCGATCATTTTTCTGGCTGACACAATATTTACTTGGTTATGCTCCCTAAACGTTAGGTCGTCAGATACAGAGAAAACTTGCTCAAGGGCCGCCAGAGCAACGACGACACTCTTGAAAACACTGACGCTATCTGGTGAGGTGTTACTGCTCGGTCCTCACATACTGTGACGCTATCTGGTGAGGTGTTACTGCTCGGTCCTCACATACTGTGACGCTATCTGGTGAGGTGTTACAGCTCGGTCCTCACATACTGTGACGCACCTAAACCACCGCCACGGTGTGAAAGCACTCAAACTGTACTCCATGGAGTGCAGGCGAGAGAGATAACTCATATTACACACATTGAAAATCCTGAAAAGTTAGGTTCCAAACCGTCCCAATTAGAATATAACAATATAAAGTGTAGTGTAAAATTATTTTAATTAAAATTCATGGCGCCATAAGCACAAGAGAGAACAGGGTATATACGCCCGACTCGTCCTCTCAAGCAATACGACAGTATGAGGTGTTATGTTAACCTACATAGAACAGCCAATCGCCAGAGATGGAAGACCCCAAGCCAGGCTGCAATATTATTTAACATAAGCACTTCTATATATTCATGAATCTTCCTTGGAACTATATAAAGGGTTACATCGTGTCTGTCATAAGTGACGTTAAAACATTCCCCATCTGTCACTCTTTGGGAGCATCAACATGACATCAAGAACATGAGAGTACATCAATTAAAGAAGAGGCTCCAGGTACCTCATACCGGCAGGTGTGGAGGGTTTAATGAGCGGACACACAATCATGTAATCCTTGAGATGGTGGCCTGGTTCTTGCCCACATGGCATGGTTCTTCCTCGAGAATTCATCACATGGATGAACCTTCGAAGACATGGACAGGTAAGACGGTAAGGAAGGACTCTGGCGCAGACGAGTGAGGGCGAGTTCACTGGAAAGCGTCGTCATCCTGTGAGTGAACATACCCCATAGCAGCATGTACAACACCCCACATACGAAGAACACCCGCTGGGTTCTTCATCGTGATGTAAGGTGCCATATCAACATAGTCTGACATGGCCCTGGCAGTGTTGGCTACACAAACTAAAAGTTGTGAGAGTGTGGGTGCAAAATATGTGAGCAAAACATGGCTTGAATAATTAATCTTGCCAGCGCTGGTTGCGAAAGAGTTGAATGATGGCGCCTTAACTCAAATATAGGCGAGCGCGCGGCCCGCGGAGACTGCCTCGCTTGCTGCCCGAAGCAGGCAAGGTTTTTTTTAAAATTAACTTGCATTACATTAAGAAAAACGGAAATGTAGGATTATTTTGATGGGGGACTATATTAAAACTGCGAAGGATTAGTAATAACAAGGTTAGCAAAATATTTAATAAAAGAGATAATGAATGTGAAATGTGACGCGAATAACATAGAACACTTGCTTTAGTCCGCCCCAGAGAAGGTACTGAAGCAGCCCGTCCTCCTAAGGTTTCCCTACATCAAGAAACTGTCGTACTAAGGTGCCCTCTCCTAACTAACCACAGGACCCAAAACAGAAAACGGGACAGTAAAGGTAAAGTATACGTCAAAATGCGACGTTCTATTAAGAAGACGGGTTGCTGAAAAGTTCGGGGTTATAGCACTCTATTGACTTTACAAGACCAAACATGGCATGGCTTATGTACTCACATAGTTGTGCTTGCTGGGGAGGGGGGGGGGGGAGGGAAGCTTCGGCTCTTTGGCCGAAGAGTTATCAGTCTCCTGGAGTCATCTCCGCTTGTACTCACCTCAAACATTTTGCATTGCCCGCAAACATGAATAGGGATGACTTTATTTCCTGTATGAGGTACCTGAGTCATTTCCTGTGTGACACGTACCAGGACTAGAATGGCTCCCGGTACCGTTCCCAGAGACATACCGCCTGTAAGTGTATCCACGGCGACTTCTCTCCTCTCACTGTGTCATTCTCTTACCTGGTGGAGATCTTACCAGCACTTGTCCACATATGGCAGCCTGAGTTTCCAGCGTTGTATACGTCTTTCATGCAGAAGTCTTCTGTAAGTCATGGAGAGCGCGATCAGGGGCCCCCAGAATCTCTCTCCTGCTTTATAATTGTCGTTTCATCATTAAACTCTAATTACTTTATTAGAAACGGTGTGCCTTAACACTATATCCATGCTGGCGCGTTGAGACAACACGCTTTCTCTTAAGTGTTGCATGAGTCGTTTACTGACACGTCTGTCTCTGGTTCCTTGCAGGGATTGCTTCTTATTGCCTCCTTCCTTGTTTTGTATAAAGATACTCCAGTGGTCGTCCTCCAGCTTTTGACAGTTCATTCCATCTGGTTCAATAATCTTCATCTTATCCACCTCTTTCTGTTTCCTCCTTTCTCCTGTCACCACCTTTACCTTACCTTGAGGTTACCTTGCGTTGGTTCCGGGGGTCAAGGTCCACGCGCGGCCCGGTCTTTGACCAAGCCTCCTGGTTGCTGGACTGATCAACCAGGCTTTTGGACGCGGCTGCTCACAGCCTGACGTATGAGTCACAGCCTGGTTGATCAAGTATCCTTTGGAGGTGTTTATCCAGTTCTCTCTTGAACACTGTGAGGGGTCGGCCAGTTATGCCCCTTATGTGTAGTGGAAGCGTGTTGAACAGTCTCGGGCCTCTGATGTTGATAGGGTTCTGTCTCTCCCACCTCTATTTCTATTTCATTCCTCCAGTTCTACCGAGAAATTTGGCCCCTATACTAATACTTCCAGGAATCTTTCGAAGTACTTCACATATAGTACCTCCATTTAATTTTTTGAGTACCTGTTTTTCTTCCTAAGTCTGATTACGTGTTCATTCAGTGTTAGTTTTCTTATCATGTTGCTGTACATGAATTTGGGTTGATCAGGTCAGAATTTGGATAATCAGGTCCTGGCTACAACGTAATTTTCTCTGCCTCTTCATATCCTTAGAAATTCTGACTTTTTGGTAGACGCCTTTGTTGTGTGCTTAGTCTTCCTTCCTTCACTCTCTTCCCCTCCTGATCTTCTAGTTATTAACACCATACAATAAAGGTTAGCATGTAGTGGTTACTCTTCTCTAGGAGCTCTCTGTATTCCGTCTTCTGACTAGTTACTGATTCGTTAGTGTATTCTGTGTTCCATGGCTTTAGTATCTGCCTCACTCTGTGTGATAATCAGGTCTAGCCTGATCATCTTTTTTGTTCTCGTATACATTCTAACATTATCATTATCTTGATTCAGGAAGTTTTTCTCGATTGTCTCTACAAGTTATGCTCTCCACGTCTCTCTCTTCTCCTCTCCAAGGACAACTTTTCCATATAGTCTAGCATAACTGAGATCCTACATGACTAATACCTTTGGTCTTGCTCTCATATGATGGCCTCTTAGTGCAGCCTCCTGGAGAAGTCCTGTATTGGGGCGCCATCACACTGTTCACGTGTCTCCTGTTGCTCTCTTGGAGGTTATATACCACTGCCACTCTTCTTAATCCAGCGTTTTATCACTTGTGCTGTGTAGTCTTGGTATCCATTTCCCACCTGTGAGTTTACTTCCTCAAAGTTCACATGTCGCTTTATCAGTAGTGTCCCGTCACCTAGTCTTTATCAGTAGTGTCCCGTCACCTAGCCTTTATCAGTAGTGTCCCGTCAAATAGCCTTTATCAGTAGTGTCCCGTCACCTAGCCTTTATCAGTAGTGTCCCGTCACCTAGCCTTTATCAGTAGTGTCCCGTCACCTAGCCTTTATCAGTAGTGTCCCGTCACCTAGCCTTTATCACTAGTGTCCCGTCACCTAGCCTTTATCACTAGTGTCCCGTCACCTAGCCTTTATCAGTAGTGTCCCGTCACCTAGCCTTTATCACTAGTGTCCCGTCACCTAGTCTTTATCACTAGTGTCCCGTCACCTAGCCTCTATCACTAGTGTCCCGTCACCTAGCCTCTATCAGTAGTGTCCCGTCACCTAGCCTTTATCACTAGTGTCCCGTCACCTAGCCTTTATCACTAGTGTCCCGTCACCTAGCCTTTATCACTAGTGTCCCGTCACCTAGCCTCTATCACTAGTGTCCCGTCACCTAGCCTTTATCACTAGTGTCCCGTCACCTAGCCTTTATCACTAGTGTCCCGTCACCTAGCCTTTATCTTGTTACCGTTTAGTAGTCTTTGGGGAATATGACAGTTGTTGTTGACCAAACCACACACTAGAAAGTGAAGGGACGACGACGTTTCGGTCCGTCCTGGACCGATCTCAAGTCACAATCGACTTGAGAATGGTCCAGGACGGACCGAAACGTCATCGTCCCTTCACTTTCTAGTGTGTGGTTTGGTCAACATATTTCAGCCACGTTACTGTGACTCCTCGTCTGCATATGGCAGTTATTGCCTTTCTTGCCAGTCCTTGGTGACAGGCGACGACCCCTGGCTTGGCCGTAAGGTGCCGAGCACCGGGCTTGGCCGCAACACGGGTGGGACGCGAACAAGGGGACACAGGTGAAAACTGAGTACCCAAATGAGCCACAGGGACGTTAGAAAAAACTTTTTCAGTGTGAGGGTAGTTAACATATGACTTGCACTAGGTAGTAATGAGGTGGAGGCTGACTCCATACACAGTTTCAAATGTAGATATGATAGAGCCCAGTAGGCTTAGGAATCTGTAAACCAGTTGATTGACGGTTGAGAGGAGGGACCTAAGAGTCAAAGCTCAACCCCCGCAAGCACAAATAGGTGAGTACACGACTCACAAGTGATGACGTCCGAACACTTCCGGAAGGGTGTTTCGCTGAAGACTTGTTTGAACCACAACGCTGGTTGTGTAGTACACACGTACTCCCCAACAGAACACAAACACCTAACTTAACCTAACCAGTGCCTAAATATGCACAGTATGATAATAAATAACAATATTAATTTAGATTTTAGAAAATTCCTCTTTTGAATGAACAGCGTGTTAGAATTGATGAATGTGTCTTTGGGGTGGAAGATGGAATGGTCTGAGGACAGGTTGCTTGAACACTGTGAGGGGTCGGCCATGTTTGTTGTTTTAGATTCAGCTACTGGGACCAAAAAAATCCAAGCAGCACAGGCTATGGTGAGCCCGTCGTACTCACCTGGCACAGGAGATGAGTTGATTGAGGTCGGCCAGTTATGCCCCTCATGTGTAGTGGAAGCGTGTTGAACAGTCTCGGGCCTCTGATGTTGATAGAGTTCTTTCTCAGAGTACCTGTTGCACCTCTGCTCTTCAACGAGGGTATTCTGCACATCCTGCCGTGCCTCCTGGTCGGCGCGGGCCAGCACAAACACAAAATAATGAAGAAGCACTCACCTCGATCACGGGTCAGTTTGGCCAAGCAGGTGGAGGTGATGACGCGGGGTGACTGACTGGAGGTGACCTGACTGGTGGCGTGCTGGGGCTCTGACGTGACTCCTGCCGTGGCTCGGGCCAGCAGGAGTAGCGCCAGGAAGAGCAGGAAGGCGCTGAAGGGGCGGCAAGGGCGGCGCGCCACCCACGCCGCCCTCCTACACCCGCTACGCTCCTTCATCCCTTCTACACCATCCTGCCAGAGAAAAATAGTGCTGATTAACCATAAATCTAAAAGTTATTTATAGACATCATAAACAAAAAAATTATTTTCTCTCCATACCTATTAAAAGTTTACAAGACATCAATTAATTCCCAAAAACCTTTGCCAATATCCCACACAAGAGACACCTTCCTGAAGCTAGAGAAGCAGGCTCATGTCTCTCAAACGTACTACAACCTACGCGATACAAGTATGAACTTTTCTCTGTAGAACTACCTACAGTTCTCAAGTATGTGGCCCAGGCATAAATACCACAAATGAATAAGCAGTTAAGATCTAAAGATATGCAACAAGTTCCATTCCGGAGCTGAGTGGCCTGAGCTAGCAGGAAAGACTGTGAGTGGGACATGATAAAGACATATACAATTGTAAATGAGAAGGCATGAGAGGGTAGGAGGTGTTTAAAGTGAGAGAGAGAGCAGACGTGGAGCCTGGGACGAGGGACAGGTGCCAGACACGTCATGAGGGTCGCGGGTCACGACCCTCGGGTGAAGATGAGGTCACAGTTACCTCAGTTACCTCACTGCAAGAGTAAATATGAGAAGCCAGGAAGCATCGAGTAATGAATTGCATTAAACTGATTGTAGCTTAAAAGTCAGAGTTTAGGAGGGAGGGAGTTATTAGGGGGAAAGCGCCACGCCATTACGACTATATAGCACTTGGAAGGGATCAGGATAGGGATTAGAGATGGGGACGGGGTGAAGGAATGGTGCCCAACCACTTGGACGGTCGGGGATTGAACGGCGACCTACATGAAGCGTCGCTCTACCGTCCAGCCCAAGTGTTGGAGAGGTTTAGGAGCTGACGCTGGACCATCCAAGCACATGTACCTTGCGATGGTTCCGAGGACCAACGTCCTCGTGGCCCGGTCACAGACCAGGTCTCCTGGTTCAAGATCTTGTCGGCCAGGCAGTTCGATGTGGCTGCTCGCAGCCTGGCGTATGAGTCACAGCCTGGTTGATCAGGTATCCTTTGGAGGTGTTTATCAAGTTCTCTCTTGAACACTGTGAGGGGTCGGCCAGTTATGCCCCTTATGTGTAGTGGAAGCGTGTTGAACAGTCTCGGACCTCTGATGTTGATAGTTCTCTCTCAGAGTACCAGTGGACCTCTGCTCTTCAACGGGGGTATTCTAGAGGAGAGGAATAGAGGAACTAGAGGAGAGACTTAACGTAGAGACTAGAGGCGTTAAACATACCAATGTGAATGTTTAACGCCTCTTAATCTCTCCTCGTAATTCTTGTTTTTCAGTTCCGGAAGCCAATTCGTAGCATGCCGCGGCACCTTTTTCAGTTTATTTATGTCCTTCTTGAGATGTGGGCGCCATACAACTGCTGCATATTCCACCTGCTTGATGCCTGCTTGATGGGGTTTTGGGAGTTCCTCTACTCCCCAAGCCCGGCCCGAGGCCAGGCTTGACTTGTGAGAGTTTGGTCCACCAGGCTGTTGCTTGGAGCGGCCCGCAGGCCCACATACCCACCACAGCCCGGTTGATCCTAGTTTTGGTCTCACAAAAGTCTCACAACCCCATGAACAGTTTCTTTAGTATTTCACCATCCATGTAATTAAAAGCAAGTCTGAAGTTGGAAAGCGCCGCAGACGCTGATGCGCATACTACAGAACCGTGGGTATAGCACTGACACACATCGTTACCCATACCCTGAGTACTCTCAGTGATGAGGCTAAACACCTAAAGATGAGACCTAGACTAAAAGAATGACGCAATAATCAATATAGCGGATATATATATATATATATATATATATATATATATATATATATATATATATATATATATATATATATATATATATATATATATATATATATATATATATATATATATATATATATATATATATATATATATATATATATATATATATATATATATGTATGTATGTAACTGAAAACTGACACCCCAGAAGTGACTCGAACCCGTACTGTCAGGAGCACTTTGCAACTGGTGCAAAAACCAGTTGCACAGTGCAACTGTGGTTGCACTGTGGTCCTTAACGACCCCACACAGGGGTCCTTAACGACCCCACACAGGGGTCCTTAACGACCCCACACAGGGGTCCTTAACGACCCCACACAGGGGTCCTTAACGACCCCACACAGGGGTCCTTAACGACCCCACACAGGGGTCCTTAACGACCCCACACATGGGATCCTTAACGACCCCACACAGGGGTCCTTAACGACTCCACACAGGGGTCCTTAACGACCCCACACATGGGGTCCTTAACGACCCCACACAGGGGTCCTTAACGATCCCACACTGGGGTCCTTAACGACCCCCACACAGGGGTCCTTAACGACCCCACACAGGGGTCCTTAACGACCCCACGTAAGGGTCCTTAACGACCCCACACAGGGGTCCTAAACGACCCCACACAGGGGTCCTTAACGACACCACACAGGGGTCCTTAACGACCCCACACATGGAGTCCTTAACGACCCCCCACACAGGGGGTCCCTAACGATCCCACGACCTTACACTGGGGTCCTTAACGACCCCTGTGTGGGGTCGTTAAGGCGGGCCCCAAGACGCCTCAACATTCCCACATAAATGAATATGTTTTCTTCGGAAAAGTTAACGTTGTCATTCCGCGGAAAGCATGAGAGGCGGAGTTAGTAAACATGTCCCACCTGCGTGTATGTGTGCGTGTGTGTGTGCATGTGTGTGTGTGCGCGTGCGTGTGGAGGTCAGTAGCAGTGTGTATAATGTGTTCGTCCCGTGCTCACGGGAGGCAGCCAAGTGGTATGCTGGGTACCCCCGGTGGTGGAGGGCGGGGTATGCTGGGTACCCCCGGTGGTGGAGGGCGGGGTATGCTGGGCACTCCCGGTGGTGGAGGGTGGGGTATACTGGGCACCCCCGGTGGTGGAGGGCGGGGTATGCTGGGCACTCCCGGTGGTGGAGGGCGGGGTATGCTGGGCACTCCCGGTGGTGGAGGGCGGGGTATGCTGGGCACTCCCGGTGGTGGAGGGCGGGGTATACTGGGCACTCCCGGTGGTGGAGGGCGGGGTATGCTGGGCACTCCCGGTGGTGGAGGGCGGGGTATACTGGGCACTCCCGGTGGTGGAGGGCGGGGTATACTGGGCACTCCCGGTGGTGGAGGGCGGGGTATACTGGGCACTCCCGGTGGTGGAGGGCGGGGTATGCTGGGCAAAAATATGTTCAAGTAACGTAAACTCACCATAGAATCAGCGTTAAATCAACGTAGGGGTCCACCAGGCTGTTGCTTGGAGCGGCTCGCAGGCCCACATACCCACCACAGCCCGGTTGGTCCGGCACTCCTTGGAGGAAACAATCTAGTTTTCTCTTGAAGATGTCCACGGTTGTTCCGGCAATATTTCTTATAGTCGCTGGGAGGATGTTGAACAACCGCGGACCTCTGATGTTTATACAGTGTTCTCTGATTGTGCCTATGGCACCTCTGCTCTTCACTGGTTCTATTCTGCATTTTCTTCCATATCGTTCTCTCCAGTACGTTGTTATTTTACTGTGTAGATTTAGGACCTGGCTCTCCAGTATTTTCTGGTACTCAGGTTATCTTGAGATGATTTCGGGGCTTAACGTCCCTGCGGCCCGGTCCTCGACCAGGCCTCCTTTTTGTTACACATCTCCAGGAAGCAGCCCGTAGCAGCTGTCTAACTCCCAGGTACCAAGTTACTGCTAGGTAACAAGGGCCTCAGAGGTAAAGTAAACGTTTTGCCTATTTGTCTCCGCCTTCACCAGAGATCGAACCCGGAACCTCAGGACTACGAATACAAAGCGCTGTCCACTCAGCTGTGAGGCGCCCTAAAATGTGTGCCAAGAAGACTTACCAGCCTCGTAGACCACAATGACCAGGGAAGACTGGACTCTCGCTAGCCTTGTTTCATGACTGCGACAAGACTGGTACATTTTAGGACCAGTCTTGCACAAAAATACTCACCCAACCATACTTATTGTTGCAAGTGGAGAAGAAAATCAACAAAATTTTACACAATAACAATTAAACAAACGTATGGATGCCTGGCAACTGACAAATTGGGGTAATTCTAGCAAGAAAATGTAATTATCTACACGAACGAGAGACTATCGTAAATAATTGTCTCCCGCCCCCGTGTCTCAGTAATGCAGATGCTGCCATATATTACTGCAGGAGTGTTTATTATTAGTAGAGCTGCTAATATTCTAGGAGGTAGGTATGTTTTACCTCACCTGTGAGCCTCTACTGAGGGTAACCCTGGCAACCCTCCACCACTGTCAACACTGCTGGAGTTCTGCCTATAGTGTCTCCCTCCTCCACTGTACACCCCTGCCTTGGTGGCCTGGTGTACACACCTGCCTTGGTGGCCTGGTGTACACCCCTGCCCTGGTGGCCTGGTGTACACCCCTGCCTTGGTGGCCTGCTACCTTGAGGCTACCTTGAGGTGCTTCCGGGGCTTAGTGTCCCCGCGGCCCGGTCGTCGACCAGGCCTCCTGGTTGCTGGACTGATCAACCAGGCTGTTAGACGCGGCTGCTCGCAGCCTGACGTATGAGTCACAGCCTGGTTGATCAGGTATCCTTTGGAGGTGCTTATCCAGTTCTCTCTTGAACACTGTGAGGGGTTTGCCAGTTATGCCCCTTATGTGTAGTGGAAGCGTGTTGAACAGTCTCGGGCCTCTGATGTTGATAGAGTTCTCTCTCAGAGTACCTATTGCACCTCTGCTTTTCAACGGGGGTATTCTGCACATCCTGCCATGTCTTCTGGTCTCATGTGGTGTTATTTCTGTGTGCAGGTTTGGGACCAGCCCCTCAATTATTTTCCACGTGTAAATTATTATGTATCTCTCCCGCCTGCGCTCAAGGGAGTACAGATTTAGGCTCTTTAGTCGGTCCCAGTAATTTAGATGTTTTACTGAGTGGATTCTAGCAGTAAAGGATCTCTGCACGCTCTCTAGGTCAGCAATTTCTCCCGCTTTGAAAGGGGCTGTCATTGTGCAG